GACTCACTCACTCACACAGACTCACTCACACAGACTCACTCACTCACACAGACTCACTCACTCACACAGACTCACACACTCACACAGACTCACTCACTGACACAGACTCACACTCACACAGACTCACACACTCACACAGACTCACACAGACTCACTCACTCACACAGACTCACTCACTCACACAGACTCACTCACTCACACAGACTCACTCACTGACACAGACTCACTCACTCACACAGACTCACATACTCACACAGACTCACTCACTCACACAGACTCACTCACTCACACAGACTCACACACTCACACAGATTCACTCACTCACACAGACTCACACAGACTCACACACTCACACAGACTCACACACTCACACAGACTCACTCACACAGACTCACACACTCACACAGACTCACTCACTCACACAGACTCACTCACACAGACTCACTCACTCACACAGACTCACTCACTCACACATACTCACACACTCACACAGACTCACTCACACAGACTCACACACTCACACAGACTCACTCACTCACACAGACTCACTCACACAGACTCACTCACTCACACAGACTCACTCACACAGACTCACACACTCACACAGACTCACTCACTGACACAGACTCACACTCACACAGACTCACACTCACACAGACTCACACAGACTCACTCACTCACACAGACTCACTCACTCACACAGACTCACTCACTCACACAGACTCACTCACTGACACAGACTCACTCACTCACACAGACTCACATACTCACACAGACTCACTCACTCACACAGACTCACTCACTCACACAGACTCACACACTCACACAGATTCACTCACTCACACAGACTCACGCAGACTCACACACTCACACAGACTCACACACTCACACAGACTCACTCACACAGACTCACTCACACAGACTCACTCACAGACTCACTCACACACAGACTCACTCACTGACACAGACTCACTCACTCACACAGACTCACACAGACTCACTCACTCACACAGACTCACACACTCACACAGATTCACTCACTCACACAGACTCACACACTCACACAGACTCACACACTCACACAGACTCACTCACTCACACAGACTCACTCACTCACACAGACTCACACACTCACACAGACTCACACACTCACACAGACTCACTCACTCACACAGACTCACTCACTCACACAGACTCACTCACTCACACAGACTCACTCACACAGACTCACACAGACTCACACACTCACACAGAATCACTCACTCACACAGACTCACACAGACTCACTCACTCACACAGACTCACTCACTGACACAGACTCACACACTCACACAGACTCACACACTCACACAGACTCACTCACTCACACAGACTCACTCACTCACACAGACTCACACACTCACACAGACTCACACACTCACACAGACTCACACACTCACACAGACTCACACACTCACACAGACTCACTCACTCACACAGACTCACTCACTCACAAAGATCCCCCGTATATCCTGAACAGACTGTTGGGGCAAGTGCTGTTAGCGAGCACCTATGCACGGCACACGAGGGAGTGGGTAGCCAGGACCACGCCCGGCCGCCTTTGTCTCCCTAGTGACGATGTTTACACAAAGCGCCGCGCTAACCGCTGCACCGCCGCTCCCACTGTTACAGTGCAGCACTGTCCCCAGGTAAGATGGGCCGCCCCGCCCCCACGTGACTCGGCGTGCGCACTCGGCACGTGGTGTCAGCACCACGTGGTGTCACCCAGCGCGCGCGGTCTCGCGCCGCCATCACTGCTCACGGAGTCGCTGCCGCGTGAGTCTCTGGGCCTCTGTGTGAGTCTCTCTGTGAGAGTCTCTGTGTGAGTCTCTGTGAGAGTCTCTGGGTGAGAGTCTCTGGGTGAGAGTCTCCGAGTCTCTGGGTGAGAGTCTCTGAGTCTCTGTGTGAGAGTCTCTGGGTGAGAGTCTCTGAGTCTCTGTGTGAGAGTCTCTGAGTCTCTGTGTGAGAGTCTCTCTGTGTGAGTGTCTGTGTGAGGGTCTCTCTGTGTGAGAGTCTCTGAGTCTCTGGGTGAGAGTCTCTGAGTCTCTGTGTGAGAGTCTCTGGGTCTCTGTGTGAGAGTCTCTGGGTGAGAGTCTGTGTGAGTCTCTGTGTGAGAGTCTCTGTGTGAGTCTCTGGGTCTCTATGTAAGAGTCTCTGGGTCTCTGTGTAAGTCTCTGGGTCTCTGTGTGAGAATCTCTGTGTGAGAGTCTCTGGGTCTCTGTGTGAGAGTCTCTGGGTCTCTGTGTGAGAGTCTGGTTCTGGTGCAAGAAACACAAGAATGAAGCCTGCCAATGCCCCCCTCTGCTCCACGTGGCATGGCACTGCAGCAACTCCCCGCCCGTGTGGGCCCGTGCAGTTGCACCGCCTGCACACGCGGCAGGAGACGTGGCCGCTGGTGGTGTGCCGCGTGCTCGTAGTTTTAGTGGACTGTATCGTCCTTGCCCGCACAGGAAATCAAAGGTAATTGTTTATAGCACGGCCTACATGCGCGTGCGTTTTGTGTTTTAGTGTTTGTTCTTGCTCCGCACATCAGATTAGCACCATTGGCTACGTACGGTGCGAAAGAAGTTAGTTTAAATTTCTACATCCGTTAAAGGAGTAGATGATGGAAAATGTAAAACTGAAGTCTCGCGTAAGGCAGTGTGGCGCTTACAGAAAGACACGCCTTTAGCTCGTGCAGTTACAAAGTCGTCTCAAGGAGACGCCACATGAAGATGCGTGAAGGTAATTTAATTTCTGACGGGGAGAAACAGCGGCAACTCGAAATATAAACCATTCTTGGGAGCCTCCCTTAGGTCAGTTCGGCCTTAAATGAGTACTCGGTTCATTGCGAGTGTAGATTCGGGAGACAAAGACGGCTGTGATTCTGCTTACACGACCACTAACAGCACGCTGCTGGCCTTCATAGAGGCTCACACGCTACGCTTGATGTTCAGAGCTAAAAGTAGCGAATTGAGTCCCCGAAAGAAGATCTGAGCCGGCCATAAAATAAGGGACAATAAACTCAGAATAGTTTTTTACGCTTTTCATCGTCAACGCCTGCTGTTGTATCATTTCAAGCGGCATTGGTTCAACACAAGCATGTAAGAATTGTTTCAATACCACCAGGTAAATTAGTTGCTAGATGTACTGTTAATGTATGAAGTTCATAGTTTAAATAAAAGTAATCTAATGTCCGCGATTTTGAATTATCCGCGGCTGTCCTCCCTGTCAGCACGAATAATCGATAATCTACTTTATTAGCTGACGTCCAAAGAAAATCCTAAATGAATGAAAATCAGGTCTACGATTGTCATTCAATTATAGACCTGATTGAATGAAAATCAGGTCTATCGTCATAATTACAGACCCCTTAATCTGTGATGATGACGAGGAGTGGCCGCTTTCAAATGGGAAAAGTCGACGCTGTCTTTGCGCGTCAGGTGCTGCCTTAGCACTTGTTCTGATCCCATGCCTTGGTTGGGATTTTAAAAAATGTCTGTTTCCCAGTGGAGCCTGGGACGCGTCACGCAGCCGCCCCTACCTGCTGCCGGTGTGCGGACACGCGTCTTGTGTGGAGCATGCCTGCAGGACAAAGGCACGCGCGGGCTGCGAGTTTGTGTGCCCGACCTGCAAGGTACAGCTACGACAGTCGTATGGCCACGTTGTGTACGAGTGTGTATGTCAGGGTGTTTGTATCTGCCTGCATGTGCACAATAGTGCAGCGGTTAGCGCTACGCTGCGCTACGAACCCGGCGACACGAGTTCGATTCCCGCTCATGGCCGCCAACACTGGTGACGATTATATGAACCAGTCCTGGACCTCCCCTAAAGTTGACTCGGCGTCAAATGAGTACCTGGTACAGTGTGTAAACAACGCCACTGGGGAGACAAAGGCGGCTGGGCTTGATGTTGGCCAAACACCCTCTCGTGCCGTGCCGGCCTTCATGGATGCTACTCACTATCGGCACTTGCCCCAACAGTCTGTTAAGGCTACACGGGGGATCTTTGTCTTTTGTATGTGAACGTGTTATCAAAACGCCTCTCGGCTGGTTTCGTGTGAAGTCCCCAGTGGTGTAACTGGGTGCTACTGCAGTGGATAAAACAACCTGCAAATATGAGCCAAAGATTTATTTGTTAACAGTGAAAGCGAAGTTTTTCAGGCATTGTCAAAAACATTTTGCAAGGGACCAGAATGGATGAATCCGAGTCAACGACACAAGATGTCGCTTGCTTCTGTCTGTGATTTGCAGTTACGAGTTTTACTCACTCTGCCACGTTTGCAATAGTTTCCTTGTATTTGGCAAGCAATCGGAGAGGGACAAACGGTGATGCCATCTTTTTTGTACGCTTTCTCTTTTGAAAATGTTGCTGCTTGACATTTTAATGGTACACTACCAAGCTGTCAGTTGAATATGTAGCAGGCTTTCGCGACCAATGTCCATAATCGAGGTTTTTGGGTTAGATTGCGTAAATATAATAAATGTCGTTAATCCCGGCACCACCCAATACGGTCAATTAGTAAGGTTTGTCACGTAACCAAAACATGCCAATTCATGACTAGTACAGCTCATCGTTGGAAAGTAAAGATGTATTAAAATACAGGAAAATATATTGTTATCCGGCATTCTACAATCTGGAATGCTCTTCACTAACCAGCATCTGTCGTAAACGGCAATGCGAATCTTCCTTCATGTACAGACAGTCCACAGGTTGCGAAATATCTGACTTGAGGAAATCTAACCTAATGGGAATGCTTCCATAAATCATGTAACAATAAAACATCGATATGCAGACATTCTTGCGTTAATTACATAAGCGCAAATATTGCAGCACAGTGAGGTTTGCGGATGAATACCGTGGAGCGAGACGTAAGGCGAGGGGCAACCTTACGCCTCGCTTGAGCTCCACGAGGGTTAAGGCATTTATTGTCGTCTTATGTAAATCTTTCATTTCGTAGCATTATGTCATTGCTTGTTTTATATTCTGAAAGCTTGTTTTTCCCCATGTTTCTATTGCTAGTTTTCTTCATTTAAGTTTATTTCATGAGTTTTTTACTGTATGTACTTTATTTAACAAAATTCTACTTCAGTTGCTTATGCACTCAGCCCAGTATCAAGGAGGATATCTGTGTTGTGTCCAGCCCCATGGCAAGGGGGGGGGGTATCTGTGTTTTGTCCAGCCCCCTGGCAAGGGGGGGTATCTGTGTTGTGTCCAGCCCCGTGGCAAGGGGGTATCTGTGTTGTGTCCAGCCCCGTGGCAAGGGGGTATCTGTGTTGTGTCCAGCCCCGTGGCAAGGGGGGTATCTGTGTTGTGTCCAGCCCCGTGGCACGGGGGGTATCTGTGTTGTGTCCAGCCCCGTGGCAAGGGGGGTATCTGTGTTGTGTCCAGCCCCGTGGCACGGGGGGTATCTGTGTTGTGTCCAGCCCCGTGGCAAGGGGGGTATCTGTGTTGTGTCCAGCCCCGTGGCAAGGGGGGTATCTGTGTTGTGTCCAGCCCCGTGGCAAGGGGGGTATCTGTGTTGTGTCCAGCCCCGTGGCAAGGGGGGTATCTGTGTTGTGTCCAGCCCTGTGGCAAGGGGGGGTATTGGTGTTGTGTCCAGCCCCGTGGCAAGGGGGGTATCTGTGTTGTGTCCAGCCCCGTGGCAAGGGGGGGTATTGGTGTTGTGTCCAGCCCCGTGGCAAGGGGGTATCTGTGTTGTGTCCAGCCCCGTGGCAAGGGGGGTATCTGTGTTGTGTCCAGCCCCGTGGCAAGGGGGGTATCTGTGTTGTGTCCAGCCCCGTGGCAAGGGGGGTATCTGTGTTGTGTCCAGCCACATGGCAAGGGGGGGGTATCTGTGTTGTGTCCAGCCCCGTGGCAAGGGGGGGTATTGGTGTTGTGTCCAGCCCCGTGGCAAGGGGGTATCTGTGTTGTGTCCAGCCCCGTGGCAAGGGGGGTATCTGTGTTGTGTCCAGCCCCGTGGCAAGGGGGGTATCTGTGTTGTGTCCAGCCCCGTGGCACGGGGGGTATCTGTGTTGTGTCCAGCCCCGTGGCAAGGGGGTATCTGTGTTGTGTCCAGCCCCGTGGCAAGGGGGGTATCTGTGTTGTGTCCAGCCCCGTGGCAAGGGGGGTATCTGTGTTGTGTCCAGCCCTGTGGCAAGGGGGGGTATTGGTGTTGTGTCCAGCCCCGTGGCAAGGGGGGTATCTGTGTTGTGTCCAGCCCCGTGGCAAGGGGGGGTATTGGTGTTGTGTCCAGCCCCGTGGCAAGGGGGTATCTGTGTTGTGTCCAGCCCCGTGGCAAGGGGGGTATCTGTGTTGTGTCCAGCCCCGTGGCAAGGGGGGTATCTGTGTTGTGTCCAGCCCCGTGGCAAGGGGGGTATCTGTGTTGTGTCCAGCCCCGTGGCTAGGGGGGGGTATCTGTGTTGTGTCTAGCCCCGTGGCTAGGGGCGGTATTGGTGTTTTGCGATGACGCCTACTCACACCTTCGTCTCCTTCGTCAGGTCCCCGGCCTCCTTCTACCTGCAGCCCGACGAAGCGCTTGGAAATTTCCTACCCACGTGAGCATGACCGCTCTCCCCCTCGCCTCTGCGGCCGCTCGGCTCATCTCCGTGTGCGCGATAATGCGTGGTGACATGTTTATTGCATTTCTCTTTTTTTTATACTAACTGCTATAAACTAAACTTTTTTATTTTAAGTGCCTACTGAACTATATAGCTATTTTTCAGAAGTGACCTGGCTACTGTAATAAAAGACTTCGTTGGTCACTGTTGGTCTCCTTTGGCCTTTTATTTAGTTTCTTTCTCCGCACCCCGCTGGTCCTGTCCGCGGACCAGCGTCGTCTAGCGCGCGCCCCGCACGCGCGACCTCATCGGCTCCTCCACTCTTCCTCACACCCCGCTAGTCCTGACAGGGGACCAGCGTCTCCTCGCGCGCGCCCACGCACGCTCCTCCGTTAGCTCCTCCACTCCCGCACTCCGCTGGCCGACGGCGTGCTGAAGGTCCTTCGGCCACGTGGCCGATGGTGCAGATCTCCTCTCACCACCCAACGTGGCTCAGCCTCTTTACTCCGCAACTCCCCCGATCTCTTCCGAGCTCCCACTTCTATCCTCTCCCCCACGTGACCCTGACTCCTCCCCTTCCGGATCGTCAGATACGGCCTTCCCATACTGCCCTGCTGGCTCCACCCCCATTCACCTCGCTTCCAATTGGAGCCGAGGTGAACGGCGGCCCCTCCCACACGCCCCCCATACCGGGCTCCGCCCCCCAATAACCCGGGCCGTGTGATTGGGCCAGAGCCCAGCAGCAAACCCCATTTACGCTCTCATTTCACTACAAATAATAGTTCAACGAAGGGGCTTATGTGCAAATTTTAATTAGCCAAATACTATTAAGGCATCTTGAATCTAAATGTAGAGGGGAAAACCAGAGGACCCAGAGAAAAATCCACGCGACTGCGGAGGGAACATGCAAACTCCAAATTTACAGCAGGCGTCAGGGTCGGGATGGAACCCACTGCCCTCCTGTATACCACGCCACCATGACACTATACTGCCAGCCACCGTCCAACATTCACAAGGTTCAGAAATTCCCTTCGCGGCCTGCGGAACACGCTGCAGATAAAGTTATATAGGGCGGGCACAGAGTACCCACAGTTCCCAGTGTCCACCCCCTACCCACAAGCCTCACCCTTCCCTACCCACAAGCCTCGTCCCTCACCACTCCCTTATCACAATCCTCACCCTTCCCTACTCCCTACCCACAAACCTCACCCATCCCCTACCCACAAGCATACAGGCACCACTCGCGTGGGCGCAACGTGCACAGGTGCAATGAAGGCAGGCCCAATACATAGTGGCATTGCTCAAGATTGCTTTATCAGATCCTCAGTAAGTCTGCACTCCAGCTAACATTGTAGATCGCGGCGCAGACAGCCGAGTTACATGGAAGCGCTAGAGTTTGCTCTACACGGAGCGTTAACGGCCCGCCTCCATTCCGAGCATGCGTGGAAGCGTGCTCAGCAGCGTCAAAGCGAGCCGCCGTGAGTTGGGCAAGAACGTTGACAGCCCTGACCATGTGGAACATGGCTCGTTCAGATGGCGCGGCGACTCTCGATCGCGAGCTTTCACTCTAGCGGCGTTGTGACTCGTTGGGGCCGCTCCGTGTCAATGACCCGCGGCGGTCTCGACTGTTGCCCAGCCCAGGACTCTGGGCCTCAATAGCCTATGCAGAGCCAACGCCCTCCAAAACGTTGACCTGCAGCATGTTGCGTGGCAGAAAGGGAATTGCTGAATGTTACGAGGAATGTTGGACCAGTGGCTCGTGGTATGGACTAGAGCAGGGGTCGGGAACCTTTTTGACTGGGAGAGCCATAAAAGCCAAATATTTCTAAATATATTTCATTGAGAGCCATATAGTATTTTTAACGTATAATAAATTAAATATGTCTTACTTTTAATGCGACTTCTGGTGCTGCATGGTTTTGCTGATGGCCTTGTAGTCTGGTTCATACGTGGTGAGGTTGAGCTTCATGCAGGCGTGACCCGTGAAATTTATCTTCAAAACTAATTTCTGTTTACTTTAAAATGACACAGTATTATTAAACAATATCACAAGTATTTTAAAATCAGTTCCAAACTGATTTTTTATTATTATTATTTTTTCCAACTCAAAATTGTCTGGGAGCCATATGCCGTCACCGGAAGAGCCATATATGGCTCGCGAGCCATAGGTTCCCGACCGCTGGACTAGAGAAACAAGTTTTCCATTCATGAAAAATGTAACGTGATCTATTTGGTGTTTGAACATCTTAAGACATGTTTTATTGCCAGAAAGGGTAAAACTTATTGTTATTCTTTATACTTCGATGCTGACAACAAGGTCCCATGACAAGTTAAAAAAACAATTCCACAAATGACTAAACTCCCTAAGTCTTCGTAACAGCCGTGCTTCATTGCTTTGTGTAGCAGCGCCACCGTGTGGATGGAGCCTCATAGCACTTGGAGTGTGGCATTTTTTTTATTGTGTGTGGACATCGCGTTGCGGCCTGTGTGTGCGGGGCGTGCAGGCTGAAGGAAATGCTGGAGGAGCGATTTGGTGGGAAGCCTCGGCCGCTCTACCCCGAGCGGTCGCTCGCGCAGGGCGGCCGCGGCGCTGGCGTCTGGCACCGATCTTGTCGAGGGCTCTGTACAGCACAAACCACTGCACCTGGGCCACGGTCCGAATCCAAAGCCTCCGTTCTGACGGTCAGATTCAGGTCTGTTCCCGTAGTCGAGTTCACGTTTAAATTTATGCTGGGCAATGAGTTGATTGAAACCTAGAGATGTAAAATAGCAGACAGGTCACTTCTGTCACCAGGCCTTTTAGCTGCGTTCCCAACCAAGGCTTTTTCTATTTCCACACCTCCGATTAGCACAGTTGGCTATGTACGGTGCGAAAGAAGTTCAACATAAATATTCATAAGTTTGTTTACCCCAAGAAGACCTCAAGCTTTCACGACCATTATCCATAATCGAGGTTTTGGGGTTAGACGACGTAAATATGAATGTGTCGTTCAACCCGCCACTGCCAACAGCCAATTACTGTAGTGAGGTTTGTCACGTAATCAAAACGTGCTAATTCGTTACTAGTTCAGCACACTGGTGTGTTCGAGAGTAAACCCCCAACATTTACAATTCAATACTCTTTGGTTCTTTTGGTAAAGTCACGTAGGTATAAAATAAAATTTACAATTCGAGTACGACGTTTTGTCAGTAATTCCAACTCACATCAACAGGCGATAGCCAGGGTTGTTAAGAGCGAAGCAGGAGGATTTCTCAAGAGATAAATGTGATGTCTCACTTGTGGGGCAATTAGGCCGAAGGCCGGGGGGGGGGGGTTATAAATGCATATAAATTACAATGGATATCCAATATCGGTTGGGTTATTCATAGGATAATCAACAGACATACATTCACATTATGCATGCACACCATGCATATCCATCCTGCCGTTTTTGGTTGCAAGAAAGACGGGTTTTTTTTATTCCAGCGTTCAGATAGTTGCCCAGTACCAGTTACGTTGCCATGGCGTGTTGTAGGCTGAAGCATTGACGCTAGAGGATGACCGAAACTGAATTTCTGGTTTCGGCCCAAACCGAAACCAGACCGAAAGTTAAATATTGGCTTTTGGCCGAAACCGAAGCCGAAACCGAAAGTTGAACTTCACTTTCGGCCGAAACCGAAAGTTTAACTACACTTTCGACCGAGACCAAAACAGAAAGGTTTATAACCAAAGTTACCGAACACAAGATTTATGAAATACTAGCTTTACTACCCGGCTTCGCCCGGGACTTGGATTCACCACGGCCGGCTGCCTTTGTCTCCCCAGTGGCGATGTTGACACACCACTTACTCGTTTGAGGCTGAGTCGACCTAGGGGAGGCCCAGGACCAGTTCAAATAATCGTCACCGGCGGTGGCCATGAGTGGGAATTGAACTTTGGTCGTCGGGTTTGTAGCGCAGCGCGCGAATCGCTACGCAGTCGCTGCCCCCCCCTACATACACACAGGATAAGGACAAAAATCCACCATGTAGCCTGTGAGACTGTAGGGGGCAAGTGCTGTTAGCGAGTACCTATGAAGGCCGGCATGGCACACGAGGGGGTGGGTGGCCAGCACCACGCCATGTTCGTAGCGCTAAGCGCTACACATGCGCGGGTGACATGACAGATGTGACGTCACAGCTCGCTTGCCGTGCAAAATATATGCATTATTGCACCGCCCCCCCCCCCCCCAAAAAATAATACCAAAGTGTATGCATGGTGTACAGTATGGAAAGTACCCACATGGCAAATTTAAAGTTTGTTGCATGTCAGGAAGTACGCTAAACATTTTGAACAGACACATTCACAAATTTTCATTTTTTATATATAGGTCATGATGCAATGCTACTTTAATAAAATATGTATCTAGAACTAATCATTCAGAGCCTGCAGTAAGAGTCGTTAAATATCAAATCTTTAGGTGTTACTTAGTGATTATATCTAAACAAACGAATGTTGTAGTTAAGAAATACCAGTTTTTCCGCATTCTCGCCCAGCAGGTTGCTGTTTCTTGCATCAGAATCGACTTTAGTGATTAACTGCTCCGTTTATTAAGTTTAATTTTCTACTTCACTCAGATTCGTAATTTTGTTATCACTAATTCGCTACGTAACTATTAACTAACTGAATAACAATATTGTCAGATTTCGATTTAAAGCTTTCGTGACTACAGGGATTCATCTTCTTGGTTCTTTCGGTAAAGTCACATAGAAGGGAAATAATAAAATAATAAAAATAAAACATAATAAAATAATTCTCACGACGTTTCGGCCACAACGCAAGCAGCTGTCCTCAGGTGAAGAATTCTTCATTTTTTTATTATGTTTTATTTTTATTATTTTATTACTTCCCTTCTAAGTGACTTTACCGAAAGAACCAAGAAGAATATTGTCAGACTTCGAATCTCGGTATCAACACGCGTATAGACTGAAGAGAACGCAACACATAAGCCAAGGCGGGCAGGCGGCTGGGAACAGACAACAACGGCACTTTGTTGTCGTCCCGCCAAAGAGACTCCACCCACGGATGCAAAAGCAGGCTGCCGTCTGTTGACATTAACAGACCATCGTTGCGGCTGTAACCTCGCTCCCAAGCTGCTGCTGATGTGTTTTTGCAGCCTATCGCAGGATTGCCTAGCGCCGACTGACCGGCCGATAGGCAGAGAGATAAACGTAGCACTAGCGTAATATTCTAAAAATAGATCTTCGGTTGACCGAAAGTCAATATCAGTTTCGGCCGAAACCGAAAGTAAACCGAAAGTAAAAAATGTACTTTCGGCCGAAACCAAACGTATGTCGAAAGCGGCCATTTGCCAACTTTCGGCACCGAAACCGAATTTCGGTCGGCCTTTACTTTACGCATCACCTCTGTGCGACCGACTGGGGATCGCAGCAACTTGAAAAGGTGATCAAATGTACAAGAGGGGTTGGTATGAATCCTATTGCTATTTGGGACTTACCTTGGAAAAACAAAACCAAGCATGTGTTTATCAAAGGATTATTCAATATTGGGCCAAAAAAGGATTGTTGATTACAGTAGACTCTCCATTTTCCACACTAATGACCGGGAGGATGGCCACGGATAATTCAAAATCGTGGATAATCCCAAATATTCATCTTCCGTGGATCTCTATGCCAAAAACCACTAAAGTATAGTGGTATAAGTTATGTTTAAGTTAAGAAAATTGAGTTGGTTAATGAATTAAACTAAAATTGTAGAACTCACGATAGATCGATGCGCGTGCTCAATGATAACAATTTCCTGCTCCCGCGCAGACGACTCGGCCCACAAAGGGGACAGCAACAGAGCCACGTCAATCAACATCAATCATTGCAATGGACAATTTTACGTGATTGCATTTACTGATCTGACCGAGGTGGTGGCACGTGCCTGTAAACTCATGGGGCTGAAAGGTGGCAGTATAGAAAGTTGGGGCACGTGACTTGTCTGTGCGGCCCTGTGAATGTTGTCCCCTTGTGCTCGTGGGCTTTCGCTCATTACTCAGTGCTGCAAAGCAGTGGCAATGGGAGCCAAGTACAGTAGACTCTCGATTATTCGCGCTAATTAGGGGAGGACGGCTGCACTAAGACCCATAGAATCATACACAGACACACAGCCTCACACAGACACCCATTGACTCACACAGAAACCCAAAGACTCACGCAGGAACAATATACTTGCACAATGACCCATAGAATCTCACACAGACACACAGCCTCACACAGACACCCATTGACTCGCACAGAAACCCAAAGACTCGCACAGAAACAATATACTTGCACAAAGACCTATAGACTAACACAGCGACCCATAGACTCACACAGAGACCCATACACCCACATAGGGACAATATACTTGCACACAGACCCATAGACACCGAGACCCAATGACACACACAGAGAAAAAAATCCCACAGAGACCCATAGACTCACACAGATACCCATAGACTCACACAGAGACCCATAACCTCACACATAGACCCATACACCCACACATAGACCCATACACCCACACAGAGACCTATAGACTCAAACATATACCCATAGACACACACAGAGACCCATAGACTCACACAGAGACCCATAAACTCACACAAAGACTATACTTGCCCAAAGACCCATAGAATCACAGGAAGACACATTGGCAAACACAGAGACACAGACTCGCACAGAGACACAGACACCCATTGACTCACACAAATACCCAAAGACTCACACAGGGACAATATACTTGCAAATAGACCCATAGAATCTCACACAGACACACAGCCTCACACAGACACCCATTGACTCACACAGAGACCCATAGACTCACACAGAAACAATATACTTTCACAAAGACCCATTGAATCACACAGAGACACAGACATACATCGACTCATAGATTCACACAGGGACAATATACTTGCACAAAGACCCATATAATCACATAGAGACCCATAGACTCACAGAGACCCATAAACTCACACAAAGACAATATACTTGCACTAAGACCCATAGACTCACACACAGACACACAGCCTCACACAGACACCCATTGACTCACACAGAAACCCAAATACTCACTCACTGGGACAATATACTTGCAATTAGACCCACAAAATATCACACAGACACACAGCCTCACACAGACACCCATAGACTCACACAGATACCCATAGACTCACACAGAGACCCATAACCTCACACATAGACCCATACACCCACACATAGACCCATACACCCACACAGAGACCCATAGACTCAAACATATATCCATAGACACACACATAGACCCATAGACTCACACAGAGACCCATAGCTCACACAAAGACTATATTTGCCCAAAGACCCATAGAATCACAGGAAGACACATTGGCAAACACAGAGACACAGACTCGCACAGAGACACAGACACCCATTGACTCACACAAATACCCATCGAAACACACAGACAATATACTTGCACTAAGACCCATAGAATCACACACAGACATTGACTGACACAGAAACCCAAAGACTCGCACAGGGACAATATACTTGCAAATAGACCCATAGAATCTCACACAGACACACAGCCTCACACAGACATCCCCAAAAATGCAAAATGCATTACGAATCATATTGACTGCCAAAACACATGTGGAAGTAGTTGAATATACAAAGTAATGCCCCACTAGACTCTTAACGGACCCAGCTCCCCCTCAAACTTAACGCGATTCTCCCGCACGCCCCTTCACTCACCAAAGTACTTGTTTCTCTCAGGCGCGTCATCAATCAAATTCTGAGGCGGCATCCCGAGGATCTACACACAATTCACACAGAGACAATGATCACCCATACAGTATTGACACACTTGTGTGGAAAGTTCTGTTTGTGAGCACCTACTGATGATGGCACAGCACCCAAGGCCACACCACAGCAACTATTTTACAAATCACTCCAGGTATTGATTTAATGCTGAGTCGATATTTGAGAGGCCAAGGACTGGTCCAACATTCAACACCACACGGTCAGGGTGCTAACCACTCGGCTACCGCTCCCGATGGTTCTCGCATGCAGGCACGGGGCAGTGTTATTGGCATGGCCCAGCAAAACCGCGAACGCCGCACGTTGCAGAAGTTCACGGATCAATCCCAGTGACTGCCCTGGTCTTTACTGCGGTATTAAACCACAAAATACTATGCACCATCTGCCTCATTCACAGCGGAGGTAATGGGTCCCGTGGCGTCATTTGAAATTGCTTATATGGTTGTGAGAATTTTCTTCATTACAAGCAGTTGAGATGAAACAACAATAATTGGCGCGATAAATGCTCGTTCATCTGACAATTCAAATTATTTGCAGGTGGTGTAGGGTTACATTTGGCCAATCCGTGGCCTCATGCAATAATCTATCACGAGTCATAACACCAGCTCTAAAAATCTATGCGTTCCGCTCACAGTTACCATGACAGGTCTACGCCTGAGTAATTGGTTCTGTCATGCGGTTGTATCCAACTCAGTAGCTTGTGTGTGGACAACCATGCAACCAGTCGCGAGCAGTCGTACGCCTCTTTCTCACAGAAGAGACGACTCAAGTGGTCTGCTCAGGGAATTGTAAGGAAGTATTTCCTGTCGCATGTTCAATTGGTCATACCAATTCTGAATATTATTTTAATACCCTTGATGCGGAAATACTCGATGAGAAGTGAAAAACATGGTTAGAAGCAATGCCTGAGTTGCGCGATTTCAAGAGCAAATTGGTCATGAAATTGATCACTCAATAACGGAATTGTCAGTGTTACTGCTGTGTGGGCAATACCTCCATATAACACGGGAGCTGGTCGTGTTTGTTGATGGCCGGAAAGAGGATGCGCCCGGTAGCCAACTCGGCCACTGTACACCCCAGCCCCCACATGTCAACCGGGAAAGATGACATGTGGCCCAGGTATGCCTCTGGGGCAAGGTACGCAGGGGAACCAAAAATCTGTGAACCTGTGAATTACAAAATACAAACATAACCAATATAACCTTTAACAGCAACACACAGGCACGAAAAAACATGTATACAAACACATGTACTCACCCATAGGTTTGGACGAAAGGCGGCGGTCGAAAGGCGCGGAGAGAGCAGCAGCAGAAGCAGCAGCAGCAGCATCATCATCGCGTGTGGAGATCAGCCGAGAGGAGTGGATCCGAGCTGTGTATTAGTGGTGGTGTGGTAGTAGTGGTGTTAGTGGTGGTGGAGGTGTTAGTGGTGGTGGGGTTGTTATTGGTGGTGGGGGTGTTAGTGGTGGTGGTTAATGGTGGGATTGTTGTTAGTGGTGGTGTTAGTGGTGGTCTGTTAAGGCTATTACGGGGGAGCTTTGTCTTTGGTGGTGTTCGTGGGGGGAGGGGGGCGTCGGGGTGGGGAAGGTACTGGGGGGGAGGGGCTTACGGGCTGTTGCGTCACGAGGGCGTGCTCACCGGGCCCCGCCCCCACTTCTGGCGATTTTTATTTGTCACAGGCGGCGACTCTGGAGGAAATGTCTCTCATGAAATTGTCTTTTCCGAGACCAAGGTTCTCTGCAAACCTCCCGGCTACCATCAAAGGTTTGTACACGAAGCCATACAAATATACAAACACAGACATAATTTCAACCGTGATGATGGGTACAAACTTAGTAATCATTGGAAAGATGTGATCAACCACGCAAAAAAGACTTAATTACACTTTTTTTGACCATCTTATCTGACAGGCACTATTTTACTTTACTTTACCGAGTGTTAACATCCCCAGTGTTTAACAGTACTCTCTTCATTGTTCAGCCAGCATTGGTATAAACATGGGCATTTTCGTTCTTTTTCTATCATGTGTATCAGGCCTCCCCTCCCCCTCTCTGTCCAATGCGTTGGCGTTGTGCAACAGCAACCGCGTCCACGCCGTCGTCCATTCTTTTGGCCCCGCTCACCTCCCCCTCCCGATGCGTTGTACGTGGCACTCCGTGCCGTCTTTGAGCCTCGCCCCCCTCCCTCCCGATACGTTCCATTCATTGGCTACCACATTCTGATGAGCTCCCCCCCCCTCTCCTCCCCCTCAACTTGCTTTTAAGGGATTACATCTTGAATCATTGCCTCACTTGATGCAGCTAATCCGGCTGTGACGGTCCCACCTGATGACGGAGACTTGTGTTGCCTCCGAAACGTCGTGATTTTTGTTTTATTTTTATTAATTTTGATGTTTTACCTACGTGACTTTACCGGAAAAAAAAACCTGTGAGTGAGTGGTGATGTGAGTGGTGAGGACGTGTGTGTGTCTGTGTAGTGTACTGGCAGGAGGAATGGTGGTGTTAGTGGTGTTACTGATAGTGGTGGTGTGTTGTGAGTGGTGACAATGTGAGTTCATGTCAGAATCAGAATACTTATACTGGAGGAGTCTGATGAGCTATACAGCTTTTTCTCACAGATGTGCAGTGTTGTGGGTGAATGGTTATGATGTAAGCTCGTGTTGATGATGTGAGTTTCTTGTTAATGATGTGGGTCCGTGTTAATGATGTGGGTTTGTGTTGATGATGTTGGTTAACGGTGAGGATGAGTCTGTGATGTGACGTGACTCGTGTTGAGACCCTGTGTGACCCTCGCCTTCGTCTCCCGCTCTCCACGCAGAGACCCGGACCGTGTGAGAGACGCCGCGAGTTCTGTGCACCCTGCACTGTACGTACCGTGTACCAGTCGGGGAGCGGGCAGTATTATTGCGGTGAACACCACGCTGCCCTCCAAGTTCGACTCCCGCTCACGGCCACCAACACTGCTGACGATTACCTCAGCCGCTCCTGGGCCTCCCCGTGTAGCCGTAGCGAGCAGCACCGATGAAGGCCGGCACGGCACGCGACACCAGTGTTGGTGGCCGTGAGCGGGAATCGAACCCTGGGTAGCAAGGTTCCTAGCGAAGCGCGCTAATCACTACACTACCGCACACACACAGACACACACAAACACACAGACACACACAGACACACAACAACAACCGCCATTCGCCACTAAGTGGCGGTGACGTCACCACGACGCTTGTGCCAGGCCATGTGCACCTTGAGGCCACGTGAAGTGTCGAACGCCCGCTGGCAGGAGGTCATGGGGCAGACCCAGGTGCCACGGGTCGACTGACTGAGATGACTGAGATGGCTGCCTGATGCACCACCTGTGCCCCCTACTGTGCCAACTTGCTGTGCTTTTGCCACCCGGCACTCCGCTCGTTGTTGTGAGCGTCGCTCCTCCGTCCTTCGTTGGTGTTGGAGGGCAACTGCCTCCAACTGCCCAGTAGCGTCCTTCACGAGCCTCCTCCACTGAGGCCGATCTTGACACCGCTGGTACCAGTCATCGACAAGTCCACTCAGCTCCACGTCCTCCTGTACCACATCACTCCATCTTTTCTCTAGCCCGTGCTGCGCCTATTTAGCCCCCTCGATCCGGCCGAACAAAAGCTGTTTAGGCATGCGGTGGCTGGGTATGCAGGCTACATGACCCAGCCAACGCAGCCTTGCCTGCCGGAGGAGCTCACCGATGGGACTTTGCCCAGATCTTTCAAGGATTTGTGAGCTCCTCACACAATCCAGCCTGGTTAAACCCAGGATGGATCGTAGGCAGGCCAGCCTAAATGTTTTTAACTGGCGAAGATGCTCCATTAGGGTGGTCCACGTTTCGCAAGCGTAGAGAAGGGAGGGAATGACTGTGGCCGAGAAGACCTGAAAATTCGAGCGGAGTGACAGACCAGGCAGCTTCCACACAGCGTTACGCAACCGATGAAAAGATATTGCTGTTCGACTGATTCGGAGTGAGACCTCCGCTGCCAAACCGGAGCCGGTCATGAGCACACTGCCCAGGTATGGGAAACTTTCCACTCTCTCCACAACTGCCCCATCACCGATTGAGAGTTGTGGGGGTGGAGTGTCTGATGGTACAAAATACCCAGGCAGGTGCTTAATTTTGGTGGGGCTAATGGTAATGCCCCACCTCTTAGTGGCACATTCCAGTTTCAGCAGAAGCGTCTCTAACTCCTCCTCTGAATGAGCAGCAATTACCAAATCATCGGCATACATAACGTGGTTGACCAATAGGGAGCAATCCCTTGACCGCCCCCGGGCATCAATCAGTCTCCCTTTATATCTGTACCAAATGGAAATTACCCCGGTACAGCTATTGAAGGCTTCACGAACTACGTGGTCAAAATAGATGTTAAATAATGTGGGAGCCAGATGACATCCCCGTCGCACCCCAAGGTGTATAGGGAATGGCTCTGACTCCCGGCAACGTAGTTTTACCCGGGCCCACTCACCAACATGAAGGTCCTTAATGATCGTGAACAGAAGGTCAGGGACTATGAAAGCACGAAGAACAACCCAGAGCCCAGGCCTACTGATGGTATCATAGGCCTTGACCAGATCAATAAAGCAGAGATGTAGGTCTTGTTGGAATTCCCTACACCTCTGCTGTAGCAGACAGACAGAAAATATGGCATATGTGAAAGACCTCCCTTTCCTGAAACCGCATTGGGGCTCCGCAAGCCTCTCAGCGTGCCTAGCAAGGCGATGTTGAATAATCCTTGCCAGGACCTTTCCCGGCATACTGAGGAGTGAGATGCCCCTGTAGTTGTTACAGTCTGTGCGGTCCCCCTTCTTAAAGAGGGGGACCACCAGGGCATATTTCTAGTCCTATGGAACCCGTCCAGTGGTCCAGACTGTTGTTATGATGTCATGTAGGGCAGTCTGTGCACAAACGCCACCCTCCCTCAGCATTTTGCTTGGGAGATCATCTCTGCCCGGTGCCTTTCCTGGTCTCAGACTCTGGATCGCCTTCCGTACTTCCTCAACCAATGGCACCTCAGCCAGCCACTCACAGGGGGTGACTTCCAATATTTGAGGCACCGCAGCCTCAGCAGGGTCATCCCCACTTTGTCCCACGTTGTTTTCCTGGGTAAGGGATTTCCCCTACCCTAGGACCTCACAGAAATGCTCAGAAAATCTGCAAACTTGTTCCTGGGGGTCGGAGATTGGATCACCATTCTTTCCCCTAATGATGGTAATAGGTGTGGCGCTGCAGGTTACTTTTGTCATGAAATTAAAGAGCGATTTGTTCTTGCGGGCCACTGAGGCAGACTCCTATCTCCTCAGCAACCCGTGACCACCACCCATCCTTGCAGCGCCTCACGGCTCTCCGAACCTCCGAGCGAAGGCTGCGGTAAGCCTCCTCATTCTCTGATGTGGGATGCTGTAGACGATTAGAGTGGGCCTTTCGCTTTTTCTCAACCATCCTGAACACCTCCTCTGTCATCCAGGGTGTTTGGGGAGGTCTGGACCACGTTCCCAAAGCAGCCATTGCAGCTGCATGAGTCACAGTCCTAAACCTTGCCCATTTACTCTCGACATCAGGAGTGGGGGACGATGCCAACCCCAGCCGCAAGCGTTGATGAAATTCTCGCTTGCAACTTTCATAAGCTAACTGAGACCAGGCCACCTTAGGTTGGAATGGGGTCTTGGATGTACATCCACCACCGGAGTGGAAGAATGGCAGGCGCATCTTACAGATGACTAGTCAGTCGATGGTCAGAGGGCAGATCAGCTCCACGGTAGGTCCTGGTGTCAAGGACATGGGCTCGCATCCACTGATCCGTCACTATGTAGTCCAGCAGATGTTCTTGCTTGGATCCAGCATGCATCCGTGATGTTGTGTTGATGCGCCGATGCCGGAACAGCGTGTTGGTAATTACAAGATCATTGGCTGCACAAAAATCTAGCAGCCTCCTACCGTTGTTATTGAACTGATCTGGCCCATGCCTTTCAATCACTACAGACCAGGTGCAGACACACAACAACAACCGCCATTCGCCACTAAGTGGCGGTGACGTCACCACGACGCTTGTGCCAGGCCATGTGCACCTTGAGGCCACGTGAAGTGTCGAACGCCCGCTGGCAGGAGGTCACGGGGCAGACCCAGGTGCCACGGGTTGACTGACTGAGATGACCGAGATGACTGGCTAATGCACCACCTGTGCCCCCTACTGTACTAACTTGCTGTGCTTTAGCCACACGGTGCTCCGCTCGTTGTTGTGAGCGTCGCTCCTCCGCCCTCCGTTGTTGTTGGAGGGCGACTGCCTCCAACTGCCCAGTAGTGTCCTTCACGAGCCTCCTCTACAGAGGCCGATCTTGACACTGCTGGTACCAGTCATCGGCAAGTCCACTCAGCTCCACGTCCTCCTGTACCACATCACCCTATCTCTTCTCTAGCCCGTGCTGTGCCCGTTTAGCCCCCTCAATCCGGCCAACCAAAAGCTGTTTAGGCATGCGGTGGCTGGGCATGCGGGCTACATGACCCAGCCAACGCAGCCTTGCCTGCCGGAGGAGCTCACCAATGGGACTTTACCCAGATCTTTCAAGGATTTGTGAGCTCCTCACACAATCCAGCCTGGTTAAACCCAGGATGGATCGTAGGCAGGCCAGCCTAAATGTTTCCAACCGGCAAAGATGCTCCATTAGGGGGGTCCACGTTTCGCAAGCGTAGAGAAGGGAGGGAATGACTGTGGCCGAGAAAACCTGAAGCTTCGTGCGGAGCGACAGACCAGGTAGCTTCCACACAGCATTACGCAACCGATGAAAAGATATTTCCACTTGACTGATTCGGAGTGAGACCTCTGCTGTTACACTGGAGCGGGTCATAAGCATACTGCCCAGGTGTGGGAAACTCTCCACTCTCTCCACTACTGCCCCATCACTGTCCGGCAAAACAACCCCCTACCTCCTCGCGGTGCCTGAATGGGCAACACTGTCGTGGACAGTGCTGTGGGGGGAGAGCCAATGCCCATTGGCCTCTCCCCTCATGGCGTCTGTGACCACCACAGTGGCTAAACGGGGGCTCTGGACGGGTGCGATGGGCTGGTAACCCCTCCACCTTCAATTTATTACCACGAAACTACGAATTAAACATAAATATGTAACTAATAAGCTTGTGCCGGAGGCCCCGGGGGGACAGGCGTCTATAACATCTCCTGGCCAAACCCCAATTGGCGGAGCCAGGAGATTAAATCTTCACCCTCGGGGCTCCTCCAGAAACAACGAAAGCCACTATGGATGGCCACGTGGAATGTTCGAACGCTCACTGCGGAGGAGAGGCTGCCACTCCTTTGTCAGGAGCTGGATCGGTACCGCACACACACACACAGACATACAGACACACAGATGAGACACAACATATATCCGTCCTCGGGCCGTGACGTCATATCCGCTTCCGCCCAGTGTGCCGCTGGAGCCACGCTGCGAGCTGCGTGCTGAGGAGCGCCTCTCTGCACGAAGCCTCCTGGAGCCTCTCCCGGAGCAGTCACCATGGAGGCTCATGGGCTGCGCAGTACCTCACGCACCCTCGTGGCGCTGCTCGTGACGAGCTACGCGTTCCTCACGTCTGGGCCCACGGAGGAGAAGAATTTCTCCCCGAACTGGCTGGTTAACCTGGGGGGAGCCTGGGAGGTCCAACCGCCACAGGCCGGGCAGCCTCTACCTTTCGCCAAAGCGACCGTGGCTGTCCACATCAGCGACCGGCTCGCAGATCACGAAGCCAAGAGGGAGCCTCGAGTCGCTTCCTCTCCCAGCCATGGCGTGGAGGTTCCCCAAGGAGGAGGAGGAGAAGACGACGACCCAGCTCCCTTAGGGTGGAAGACCTTCATGGAGATGCTGCACAGCAGGCCGGTGGCCATCGCCTACGAGGTGGCGAGTGCAGGGATCGCCCTCCTCAGCCTCGGAGTGTGGCTGAAGAATGCAGTGGTGAGTGCCAGCTTCACGATTACACAGACCATAGCGTGGCACCGCAACAGACACCACACGCAGAGCCACCACACGCAGAGACGTATCACGCGTACAGATCACTCGCGTAGATATAAGAATCTCACTCGCATATGTAGTAGGTTCAATGAGACGTAGACGACGTAGTCGGAGGCACACTTATTTATTATAATGTTTCACTCGGCACAGGCCAATGTATACAACACTCGAAGGGGTAACGGCCCCTTCACCCGTCTAACAGGGAGACCCCATTAACTCTAGCCCTGGCTAGCCTACTCCCAGGTCCTCCACTCGAGAGCTAGGGTAGGCTAGCTGATCCAGCTCTGGCCAAGCTAGGATCACGGCACCCTTAGCCACCAGACCAGCTCTTACAAGAGCATCGGCTCTGGGCTCTCGGGGCCACGCCACTGGCTTGCCCTGGTCGGTCCTTAGAAGGACAGCGATCCAGGAGAGTCCCAGGGCCTATCTAGCCGGTCTTCACTCTTCACTAGTTAGGCTGAATACTGAACCCCGTGCCCACCGGCTCACCGCCTTATATAGCAACTCCCCCACGAGGGGTGGGGCCGTGGGAGATCACAGCGCCGTTACAGCCCCCCAGGGCTAACCGATGCGGACGTGAATATAAGCATCCTTCCGCGTGCGGGCATAACCACCCCTCGTGTGTTTGTTCACCCTCCCGTAACACCCCTACACATACACCACACACACAAGTATATATGACATCCACACACACATCCTAGACAAAGTCGCAAACACCTTGCTCAATTAATTATGCTTAAATATTATCCACTGCAACTTTAAGGGTGTTTTTTGTTACTGGCAGCGTGGCATTTGGGACATGTGCTGGACTCAGCTGTCCTTGTGCGGCGTTGCTGAGTTGCCCTGGTGCGAACAGAACTATTTCCCCAGCCAGTAGAGTCAGAATAATACTATTTATTTATGTTTGAGGAATCCGATGAGCTATGAAGCTCTTTTTCACAGATGTCCAGTCGGGGCTGGTAAGAACATTACAATAACAAATACTACAAAAACATGATAATAGTGCAAAGTACATGAAAGGTTAACAAATCACCCAAAAACAAACAAATAAAACTAAACCATCCCCATCATACAAAGCCCACTGAGGTACTAACTTATTTTTCAGACGGAACCTGGTCACAAATGATAGATCAACAAAGTGACATCATTTGGACATTCATAGCAGCAAAATAATCTAAATTATCGAAATAAATGTTTCTAAATGTGGAGGGAAAAACCAGAGGATCAAACTACGCAGGGCCATGGCACTTGACCAATGACTTTTGTTTATTGCCGAGAATCCAGCTGTTAGTCAAGGCTGAACTAAAGAGAGGGAAAGATACTTGTTGTCGTGCTGTACATTACAAATACTTGTGCAATGTTTTCAACAGTGGCGTCCGCGACCTCCTGCCATGCCAGCGATGGCCGTCCACACCACCAACCTCCCGAAACAAAAGGCTCGGTCGAACTTGGCCGAAATGGTACCTCAAGCAGCTTCTTCTTTAGGCTGTTGGATGACGGTTCCGCAAGATGGAGAATACCCGTCTCCCTCAAGGTGGACGACCTTGATGAAGATGCTGCACAGTGGGCCGGTGGCCATCACTTACCACGTGGAGAGCACGGGGATCACCATTACCAGCCTAAGAGTCTGGCAGAAGAATCAACTGGTAAGAGAGAGAGAGTGTGCTGGCTTCACTGTCACATAGAGAATCAGCAGGACACCACAACAGACACACACAGAGACACCACACCCAGAGAGGCATCGTGGATATAGATCACTCAGGCAAATGTCATAATCTCACATGCATAGATGACACAAATCAGAATAAGAATATTTATACTGGAGGAATCCGATGAGCTATTAAGCTATTTTTCACAGATGTCCAGGAGAGGCAGGTTAGAACGTTACAACACCAAACAATAAAAAATCACACTCACACCCTCGACAAAGTCGCACACATTTATTACAAGCACACACATTGTTAATGCTGTGGATTACAAATAGTTGTCCGATATTTGCGACTAAAAGGCAAGTACAACACCCGTGTTCAATCAATGGTGGTGGTGTGGTAGATGGCAAGTGAAAAAAAATATTTGAGTGGATGTGACCAACAGGGGAAGAAGGAGACTGCAATCTCTTGCCTCTCATACTGATTTTGTTTCCGGTTTTAAACAGAAGTCATCGCAACGTGGACGAGTTTACCGAAGCCGCCACATGAGAGGATCCATGTGGAAATTGGCTCGGGGCAAGCGCCACCCCATGAAAATCAAGAGGACCCACAGATCCCTCAAGACTCGGCTGGATGGCTGCTCCATGATGAATAGCTCTCTGTGTGAGTCTCTGGGTGAGGGTCTCTGTGTGAGAGTCTCTGTGTGAGAGTCTCTGAGTCTCTGGGTGAGAGTCTCTGGGTCTCTGTGTGAGAGTCTCTGGGTGAGAGTCTCTGGGTCTCTGTGTGAGAGTCTCTGAGTCTCTGGGTGAGAGTCTCTGGGTGAGAGTCTCTGGGTCTCTGTGTGAGGGTCTCTGGGTGAGAGTCTCTGAGTCTCTGGGTGAGAGTCTCTGGGTCTCTGTGTGAGAGTCTCTGGGTCTCTGTGTGAGAGTCTCTGGGTGAGAGTCTCTGAGTCTCTGGGTGAGAGTCTCTGGGTGAGAGTCTCTGGGTCTCTGTGTGAGAGTCTCTGGGTGAGAGTCTCTGATTCTCTGGGTGAGAGTCTCTGAGTCTCTGGGTGAGAGTCTCTGGGTCTCTGTGTGAGAGTCTCTGGGTGAGAGTCTCTGAGTCTCTGGGTGAGAGTCTCTGGGTCTCTGTGTGAGGGTCTCTGGGTCTCTGTGTGAGAGTCTCTGGGTCTCTGTGTGAGAGTCTCTGGGTGAGAGTCTCTGAGTCTCTGGGTGAGAGTCTCTGAGTCTCTGGGTGAGAGTCTCTGGGTCTCTGTGTGAGGGTCTCTGGGTCTCTGTGTGAGAGTCTCTGGGTCTCTGTGTGAGGGTCTCTGTATGCGAGTCTCTGTGTCTCTGTGTGAGAGTCTCTGGGTCTCTGTGTGAGAGTCTCTGTGTGAGGGTCTCTGTGTGAGGGTCTCTGTGTGAGAGTCTCTGGGTCTCTGTGTGAGAGTCTATGGGTCTCTGTGTGAGAGTCTCTGGGTCTCTGTGTGAGGGTCTCTGTGTAAGAGTCTCTGGGTCTCTGTGTGAGGGTCTCTGTGTCAGAGTCTCTGGATCTCTGTGTGAGGGTCTCTGTGTCAGAGTCTCTGGGTCTCGGTGTGAGAGTCTCTGGGTCTCTGTGTGAGAATCTCTGTTGAGAGTCTCTGGGTCTCTATGTAAGAGTCTCTGGGTCTCTGTGTAAGTCTCTGGGTCTCTGTGTGAGAATCTCTGTGTGAGAGTCTCTGGGTCTCTGTGTGAGGGTCTCTGTGTGAGAGTCTCTGGGTCTCTGTGTGAGAGTCTCTGTGTGAGGGTCTCTGTGTGAGAGTATCTGGGTCTCTGTGTGAGAGTCTGGTTCTGGTGCAAGAAACACAAGAATGAAGCCTGCCAATGCCCCCCTCTGCTCCACGTGGCATGGCACTGCAGCAACTCCCCGCCCGTGTGGGCCCGTGCAGTTGCACCGCCTGCACACGCGGCAGGAGACGTGGCCGCTGGTGGTGTGCCACGTGCTCGTAGTTTTAGTGGACTGTATCGTCCTTGCCCGCACAGGAAATCAAAGGTAATTGTTTATAGCACGGCCTACATGCGCGTGCGTTTTGTGTTTTAGTGTATGTTCTTGCTCCGCACATCAGATTAGCACCATTGGCTACGTACGGTGCGAAAGAAGTTAGTTTACATTTCTACATCCGTTAAAGGAGTAGATGATGGAAAATGTAAAACTGAAGTCTCGCGTAAGGCAGTGTGGCGCTTACAGAAAGACACGCCTTTAGCTCGTGCAGTTACAGTCGTCTCAAGGAGACGCCACATGAAGATGCGTGAAGGTAATTTAATTTCTGACGGGGAGAAACAGCGGCAACTCGAAATATAAACCATTCTTGGGAGCCTCCCTTAGGTCAGTTCGGCCTTAAATGAGTACTCGGTTCATTGCGAGTGTAGATTCGGGAGACAAAGACGGCTGTGATTCTGCTTACACGACCACTAACAGCACGCTGCTGGCCTTCATAGAGGCTCACTCGCTACGCTTGATGTTCAGAGCTACAAGTTGCGAATTGAGTCCCCGAAAGAAGATCTGAGCAGGCCATAAAATAAGGGACAATAAACTCAGAATAGTTTTTTACGCTTTTCATCGTCAACGCCTGCTGTTGTATCATTTCAAGCGGCATTGGTTCAACACAAGCATGTAAGAATTGTTTCAATACCACCAGGTAAATTAGTTGCTAGATGTACTGTTAATGTATGAAGTTCATAGTTTAAATAAAAGTAATCTAATGTCCGCGATTTTGAATTATCCGCGGCTGTCCTCCCTGTCAGCACGAATAATCGATAATCTACTTTATTAGCTGACGTCCAAAGAAAATCCTAAATGAATGAAAATCAGGTCTACGATTGTCATTCAATTATAGACCTGATTGAATGAAAATCAGGTCTATCGTCATAATTACAGACCCCTTAATCTGTGATGATGACGAGGAGTGGCCGCTTTCAAATGGGAAAAGTCGACGCTGTCTTTGCGCGTCAGGTGCTGCCTTAGCACTTGTTCTGATCCCATGCCTTGGTTGGGATTTTAAAAAATGTCTGTTTCCCAGTGGAGCCTGGGACGCGTCACGCAGCCGCCCCTACCTGCTGCCGGTGTGCGGACACGCGTCTTGTGTGGAGCATGCCTGCAGGACAAAGGCACGCGCACGCGCGGGCTGCGAGTTTGTGTGCCCGACCTGCAAGGTACAGCTACGACAGTCGTATGGCCACGTTGTGTACGAGTGTGTATGTCAGGGTGTTTGTATCTGCCTGCATGTGCACAATAGTGCAGCGGTTAGCGCTACGCTGCGCTACGAACCCGGCGACACGAGTTCGATTCCCGCTCATGGCCGCCAACACTGGTGACGATTATATGAACCAGCCCTGGACCTCCCCTAAAGTTGACTCGGCGTCAAATGAGTACCTGGTACAGTGTGTAAACAACGCCACTGGGGAGACAAAGGCGGCCGGGCTTGATGTTGGCCAAACACCCTCTCGTGCCGTGCCGGCCTTCATGGATGCTACTCACTATCGGCACTTGCCCCAACAGTCTGTTAAGGCTACACGGGGGATCTTTGTCTTTTGTATGTGAACGTGTTATCAAAACGCCTCTCGGCTGGTTTCGTGTGAAGTCCCCAGTGGTGTAACTGGGTGCTACTGCAGTGGATAAAACAACCTGCAAATATGAGCCAAAGATTTATTTGTTAACAGTGAAAGCGAAGTTTTTCAGGCGTTGTCAAAAACATTTTGCAAGGGACCAGAATGGATGAATCCGAGTCAACGACACAAGATGTCGCTTGCTTCTGTCTGTGATTTGCAGTTACGAGTTTTACTCACTCTGCCACGTTTGCAATAGTTTCCTTGTATTTGGCAAGCAATCGGAGAGGGACAAACGGTGATGCCATCTTTTTTGTACGCTTTCTCTTTTTGAAAATGTTGCTGCTTGACATTTTAATGGTACACTACCAAGCTGTCAGTTGAATATGTAGCAGGCTTTCGCGACCAATGTCCATAATCGAGGTTTTTGGGTTAGATTGCGTAAATATAATAAATGTCGTTAATCCCGGCACCACCCAATACGGTCAATTAGTAAGGTTTGTCACGTAACCAAAACATGCCAATTCATGACTAGTACAGCTCATCGTTGGAAAGTAAAGATGTATTAAAATACAGGAAAATATATTGTTATCCGGCATTCTACAATCTGGAATGCTCTTCACTAACCAGCATCTGTCGTAAACGGCAATGCGAATCTTCCTTCATGTACAGACAGTCCACAGGTTGCGAAATATCTGACTTGAGGAAATCTAACCTAATGGGAATGCTTCCATAAATCATCTAACAATAAAACATCGATATGCAGACATTCTTGCGTTAATTACGTAAGCGCAAATATTGCAGCACAGTGATGTTTGCGGATGAATACCGTGGAGCGAGACGTAAGGCGAGGGGCAACCTTACGCCTCACTTGAGCTCCACGAGGGTTAAGGCATTTATTGTCGTCTTATGTAATTCTTTCATTTCGTAGCATTATGTCATTGCTTGTTTTATATGCTGAGAGCTTGTTTTTCCCCATGTTTATATTGCTAGTTTTCTTCATTTAAGTTTATTTCATGAGTTTTTTACTGTATGTACTTTATTTAACACAATTCTACTTCAGTTGCTTATGCACTCAGCCCAGTATCAAGGAGGATATCTGTGTTGTGTCCAGCCCCATGGCAAGGGGGGGGGGGTATCTGTGTTTTGTCCAGCCTCCTGGCAAGGGGGGGTATCTGTGTTGTGTCCAGCCCCGTGGCAAGGGGGTATCTGTGTTGTGTCCAGCCCCGTGGCAAGGGGGGTATCTGTGTTGTGTCCAGCCGCATGGAAAGGGGGGGTATCTGTGTTGTGTCCAGCCCCGTGGCAAGGGGGTATCTGTGTTGTGTCCAGCCCTGTGGCAAGGGGGGGTATTGGTGTTGTGTCCAGCCCCGTGGCAAGGGGGGTATCTGTGTTGTGTCCAGCCCCGTGGCAAGGGGGGGTATTGGTGTTGTGTCCAGCCCCGTGGCAAGGGGGGTATCTGTGTTGTGTCCAGCCCCGTGGCAAGGGGGGGTATTGGTGTTGTGTCCAGCCCCGTGGCAAGGGGGTATCTGTGTTGTGTCCAGCCCCGTGGCAAGGGGGGTATCTGTGTTGTGTCCAGCCACATTGCAAGGGGAGGGGTATCTGTGTTGTGTCCAGCCCCGTGGCAAGGGGGGGTATTGGTGTTGTGTCCAGCCCCGTGGCAAGGGGGGTATCTGTGTTGTGTCCAGCCCCGTGGCAAGGGGGGTATCTGTGTTGTGTCCAGCCCCGTGGCAAGGGGGGTATCTGTGTTGTGTCCAGCCCCGTGGCAAGGGGGGGTATTGGTGTTGTGTCCAGCCCCGTGGCAAGGGGGGTATCTGTGTTGTGTCCAGCCCCGTGGCTAGGGGGGGTATCTGTGTTGTGTCTAGCCCCGTGGCTAGGGGCGGTATTGGTGTTTTGCGATGACGCCTACTCACACCTTCGTCTCCTTCGTCAGGTCCCCGGCCTCCTCCTACCTGCAGCCCGACGAAGCGCTTGGAAATTTCCTACCCACGTGAGCATGACCGCTCTCCCCCTCGCCTCTGCGGCCGCTCGGCTCATCTCCGTGTGCGCGATAATGCGTGGTGACATGTTTATTGCATTTCTCTTTTTTTTATACTAACTGCTATAAACTAAACTTTTTTTATTTTAAGTGCCTACTGATCTATATAGCTATTTTTCAGAAGTGACCTGGCTACTGTAATAAAAGACTTCGTTGGTCACTGTTGGTCTCCTTTGGCCTTTTATTTAGTTTCTTTCTCCGCACCCCGCTGGTCCTGTCCGCGGACCAGCGTCGTCTAGCGCGCGCCCCGCACGCGCGACCTCATCGGCTCCTCCACTCTTCCTCACACCCCGCTAGTCCTGACAGGGGACCAGCGTCTCCTCGCTAGCGCCCACGCACGCTCCTCCGTTAGCTCCTCCACTCCCGCACTCCGCTGGCCGACGGCGTGCTGAAGGTCCTTCGGCCACGTGGCCGATGGCGCGGATCTCCTCTCACCACCCAACGTGGCTCAGCCTCTTTACTCCGCAACTCCCCCGATCTCTTCCGAGCTCCCACTTCTATCCTCTCCCCCACGTGACCCTGACTCCTCCCCTTCCGGATCGTCAGATACGGCCTTCCCATACTGCCCTGCTGGCTCCACCCCCATTCACCTCGCTTCCAATTGGAGCCGAGGTGAACGGCAGCCCCTCCCACACGCCCCCCATACCGGGCTCCTTCCCCCAATAACCCGGGCCGTGTGATTGGGCCAGAGCCCAGCAGCAAACCCCATTTACGCTCTCATTTCACTACAAATAATAGTTCAACGAAGGGGCTTATGTGCAAATTTTAATTAGCCAAATACTATTAAGGCATCTTGAATCTAAATGTAGAGGGGAAAACCAGAGGACCCAGAGAAAAATCCACGCGACTGCGGAGGGAACATGCAAACTCCAAATTTACAGCAGGCGTCAGGGTCGGGATGGAACCCACGCCCTCCTGTATACCACGCCACCATGACACTATACTGCCAGCCACCGTCCAACATTCACAAGGTTCAGAAATTCCCTTCGCGGCCTGCGGAACACGCTGCAGATAAAGTTATATAGGGCGGGCACAGAGTACCCACAGTTCCCAGTGTCCACCCCCTACCCACAAGCCTCACCCTTCCCTACCCACAAGCCTCGTCCCTCACCACTCCCTTATCACAATCCTCACCCTTCCCTACTCCCTACCCACAAACCTCACCCATCCCCTACCCACAAGCATACAGGCACCACTCGCGTGGGCGCAACGTGCACAGGTGCAATGAAGGCAGGCCCAATACATAGTGGCATTGCTCAAGATTGCTTTATCAGATCCTCAGTAAGTCTGCACTCCAGCTAACATTGTAGATCGCGGCGCAGACAGCCGAGTTACATGGAAGCGCTAGAGTTTGCTCTACACGGAGCGTTAACGGCCCGCCTCCATTCCGAGCATGCGTGGAAGCGTGCTCAGCAGCGTCAAAGCGAGCCGCCGTGAGTTGGGCAAGAACGTTGACAGCCCTGACCATGTGGAACATGGCTCGTTCAGATGGCGCGGCGACTCTCGATCGCGAGCTTTCACTCTAGCGGCGTTGTGACTCGTTGGGGCCGCTCCGTGTCAATGACCCGCGGCGGTCTCGACTGTTGCCCAGCCCAGGACTCTGGGCCTCAATAGCCTATGCAGAGCCAACGCCCTCCAAAACGTTGACCTGCAGCATGTTGCGTGGCAGAAAGGGAATTGCTGAATGTTACGAGGAATGTTGGACCAGTGGCTCGTGGTATGGACTAGAGCAGGGGTCGGGAACCTTTTTGACTGGGAGAGCCATAAAAGCCAAATATTTCTAAATATATTTCATTGAGAGCCATATAGTATTTTTAACGTATAATAAATTAAATATGTCTTACTTTTAATGCGACTTCTGGTGCTGCATGGTTTTGCTGATGGCCTTGTAGTCTGGTTCATACGTGGTGAGGTTGAGCTTCATGCAGGCGTGACCCGTGAAATTTATCTTCAAAACTAATTTCTGTTTACTTTAAAATGACACAGTATTATTAAACAATATCACAAGTATTTTAAAATCAGTTCCAAACAGATTTTTTATTATTATTATTTTTTCCAACTCAAAATTGTCTGGGAGCCATATGCCGTCACCGGAAGAGCCATATATGGCTCGCGAGCCATAGGTTCCCGACCGCTGGACTAGAGAAACAAGTTTTCCATTCATGAAAAATGTAACGTGATCTATTTGGTGTTTGAACATCTTAAGACATGTTTTATTGCCAGAAAGGGTAAAACTTATTGTTATTCTTTATATTTCGATGCTGACAACAAGGTCCCATGACAAGTTAAAAAAACAATTCCACAAATGACTAAACTCCCTAAGTCTTCGTAACAGCCGTGCTTCATTGCTTTGTGTAGCAGCGCCACCGTGTGGATGGAGCCTCATAGCACTTGGAGTGTGGCATTTTTTTTATTGTGTGTGGACATCGCGTTGCGGCCTGTGTGTGCGGGGCGTGCAGGCTGAAGGAAATGCTGGAGGAGCGATTTGGTGGGAAGCCTCGGCCGCTCTACCCCGAGCGGTCGCTCGCGCAGGGCGGCCGCGGCGCTGGCGTCTGGCACCGATCTTGTCGAGGGCTCTGTACAGCACAAACCACTGCACCTGGGCCACGGCCCGAATCCAAAGCCTCCGTTCTGACGGTCAGATTCAGGTCTGTTCCCGTAGTCGAGTTCATGTTTAAATTTATGCTGGGCAATGAGTTGATTGAAACCTAGAGATGTAAAATAGCAGACAGGTCACTTCTGTCACCAGGCCTTTTAGCTGCGTTCCCAACCAAGGCTTTTTCTATTTCCACACCTCCGATTAGCACAGTTGGCTATGTACGGTGCGAAAGAAGTTCAACATAAATATTCATAAGTTTGTTTACCCCAAGAAGACCTCAAGCTTTCACGACCATTATCCATAATCGAGGTTTTTGGGTTAGACGACGTAAATATGAATGTGTCGTTCAACCCGCCACCGCCAACACAGCCAATTACTGTAGTGAGGTTTGTCACGTAATCAAAACGTGCTAATTCGTTACTAGTTCAGCACACTGGTGTGTTCGAGAGTAAACCCCCAACATTTACAATTCAATACTCTTTGGTTCTTTTGGTAAAGTCACGTAGGTATAAAATAAAATTTACAATTCGAGTACGACGTTTTGTCAGTAATTCCAACTCACATCAACAGGCGATAGCCAGGGTTGTTAAGAGCGAAGCAGGAGGATTTCTCAAGAGATAAATGTGATGTCTCACTTGTGGCGCAATTAGGCCGAAGGCCGGGGGGGGGGGAGGTTATAAATGCATATAAATTACAATGGATATCCAATATCGGTTGGGTTATTCATAGGATAATCAACAGACATACATTCACATTATGCATGCACACCATGCATATCCATCCTGCCGTTTTTGGTTGCAAGAAAGACGGGTTTTTTTTATTCCAGCGTTCAGATAGTTGCCCAGTACCAGTTACGTTGCCATGGCGTGTTGTAGGCTGAAGCATTGACGCTAGAGGATGACCGAAACTGAATTTCTGGTTTCGGCCCAAACCGAAACCAGACCGAAAGTTAAATATTGGCTTTTGGCCGAAACCGAAGCCGAAACCGAAAGTTGAACTTCACTTTCGGCCAAAACCGAAAGTTTAACTACACTTTCGACCGAGACCAAAACAGAAAGGTTTATAACCAAAGTTACCGAACACAAGATTTATGAAATACTAGCTTTACTACCCGGCTTCGCCCGGGACTTGGATTCACCACGGCCGGCTGCCTTTGTCTCCCCAGTGGCGATGTTGACACACCACTTACTCGTTTGAGGCTGAGTCGACCTAGGGGAGGCCCAGGACCAGTTCAAATAATCGTCACCGGCGGTGGCCATGAGTGGGAATTGAACTTTGGTCGTCGGGTTTGTAGCGCAGCGCGCGAATCGCTACGCAGTCGCTGCCCCCCCCTACATACACACAGGATAAGGACAAAAATCCACCATGTAGCCTGTGAGACTGTAGGGGGCAAGTGCTGTTAGCGAGTACCTATGAAGGCCGGCATGGCACACGAGGGGGTGGGTGGCCAGCACCACGCCATGTTCGTAGCGCTAAGCGCTACACATGCGCGGGTGACATGACAGATGTGACGTCACAGCTCGCTTGCCGTGCAAAATATATGCATTATTGCACCGCCCCCCCCCCCCCAAAAAATAATACCAAAGTGTATGCATGGTGTACAGTATGGAAAGTACCCACATGGCAAATTTAAAGTTTGTTGCATGTCAGGAAGTACGCTAAACATTTTGAACAGACACATTCACAAATTTTCATTTTTTATATATAGGTCATGATGCAATGCTACTTTAATAAAAAATGTATCTAGAACTAATCATTCAGAGCCTGCAGTAAGAGTCGTTAAATATCAAATCTTTAGGTGTTACTTAGTGATTATATCTAAACAAACGAATGTTGTAGTTAAGAAATACCAGTTTTTCCGCATTCTCGCCCAGCAGGTTGCTGTTTCTTGCATCAGAATCGACTTTAGTGATTAACTGCTCCGTTTATTAAGTTTAATTTTCTACTTCACTCAGATTCGTAATTTTGTTATCACTAATTCGCTACGTAACTATTAACTAACTGAATAACAATATTGTCAGATTTCGATTTAAAGCTTTCGTGACTACAGGGATTCATCTTCTTGGTTCTTTCGGTAAAGTCACATAGAAGGGAAATAATAAAATAATAAAAATAAAACATAATAAAATAATTCTCACGACGTTTCGGCCACAACGCAAGCAGCTGTCCTCAGGTGAAGAATTCTTCATTTTTTTATTATGTTTTATTTCTATTATTTTATTACTTCCCTTCTAAGTGACTTTACCGAAAGAACCAAGAAGAATATTGTCAGACTTCGAATCTCGGTATCAACACGCGTATAGACTGAAGAGAACGCAACACATAAGCCAAGGCGGGCAGGCGGCTGGGAACAGACAACAACGGCACTTTGTTGTCGTCCCGCCAAAGAGACTCCACCCACGGATGCAAAAGCAGGCTGCCGTCTGTTGACATTAACAGACCATCGTTGCGGCTGTAACCTCGCTCCCAAGCTGCTGCTGATGTGTTTTTGCAGCCTATCGCAGGATTGCCTAGCGCCGACTGACCGGCCGATAGGCAGAGAGATAAACGTAGCACTAGCGTTATATTCTAAAAATAGATCTTCGGTTGACCGAAAGTCAATATCAGTTTCGGCCGAAACCGAAAGTAAACCGAAAGTAAAAAATGTACTTTCGGCCGAAACCGAACGTATGTCGAAAGCGGCCATTTGCCAACTTTCGGCACCGAAACCGAATTTCGGTCGGCCTTTACTTTACGCATCACCTCTGTGCGACCGACTGGGGATCGCAGCAACTTGAAAAGGTGATCAAATGTACAAGAGGGGTTGGTATGAATCCTATTGCTATTTGGGACTTACCTTGGAAAAACAAAACCAAGCATGTGTTTATCAAAGGATTATTCAATATTGGGCCAAAAAAGGATTGTTGATTACAGTAGACTCTCCATTTTCCACACTAATGACCGGGAGGATGGCCACGGATAATTCAAAATCGTGGATAATCCCAAATATTCATCTTCCGTGGATCTCTATGCCAAAAACCACTAAAGTATAGTGGTATAAGTTATGTTTAAGTTAAGAAAATTGAGTTGGTTAATGAATTAAACTAAAATTGTAGAACTCACGATAGATCGATGCGCGTGCTCAATGATAACAATTTCCTGCTCCCGCGCAGACGACTCGGCCCACAAAGGGGACAGCAACAGAGCCACGTCAATCAACATCAATCATTGCAATGGACAATTTTACGTGATTGCATTTACTGATCTGACCGAGGTGGTGGCACGTGCCTGTAAACTCATGGGGCTGAAAGGTGGCAGTATAGAAAGTTGGGGCACGTGACTTGTCTGTGCGGCCCTGTGAATGTTGTCCCCTTGTGCTCGTGGGCTTTCGCTCATTACTCAGTGCTGCAAAGCAGTGGCAATGGGAGCCAAGTACAGTAGACTCTCGATTATTCGTGCTTATTAGGGGAGGACGGCTGCACTAAGACCCATAGAATCATACACAGACACACAGCCTCACACAGACACCCATTGACTCGCACAGAAACCCAAAGACTCGCACAGAAACCCAAAGACTCGCACAGAAACAATATACTAGCACAAAGACCCATAGACTAACACAGCGACCCATAGACTTACACAGAGACCCATACACCCACATAGGGACAATATACTTGCACACAGACCCATAGACACCGAGACCCAATGACACACACAGAGAAAAAAATCCCACAGAGACCCATAGACTCACACAGAGACCCATAACCTCACACATAGACCCATACACCCACACATAGACCCATACACCCACACAGAGACCTATAGACTCAAACATATACCCATAGACACACACAGAGACCCATAGACTCACACAGAGACCCATAAACTCACACAAAGACTATACTTGCCCAAAGACCCATAGAATCACAGGAAGACACATTGGCAAACACAGAGACACAGAGACACAGACTCGCACAGAGACACAGACACCCATTGACTCACACAAATACCCAAAGACTCACACAGGGACAATATACTTGCAAATAGACCCATAGAATCTCACACAGACACACAGCCTCACACAGACACCCATTGACTCACACAGAGACCCATAGACTCACACAGAAACAATATACTTTCACAAAGACCCATTGAATCACACAGAGACACAGACATACATCGACTCATAGATTCACACAGGGACAATATACTTGCACAAAGACCCATATAATCACATAGAGACCCATAGACTCACAGAGACCCATAAACTCACACAAAGACAATATACTTGCACTAAGACCCATAGACTCACACACAGACACACAGCCTCACACAGACACCCATTGACTCACACAGAAACCCAAATACTCACTCACTGGGACAATATACTTGCAATTAGACCCACAAAATATCACACAGACACACAGCCTCACACAGACACCCATAGACTCACACAGATACCCATAGACTCACACAGAGACCCATAACCTCACACATAGACCCATACACCCACACATAGACCCATACACCCACACAGAGACCCATAGACTCAAACATATATCCATAGACACACACAGAGACCCATAGACTCACACAGAGACCCATAGCTCACACAAAGACTATACTTGCCCAAAGACCCATAGAATCACAGGAAGACACATTGGCAAACACAGAGACACAGACTCGCACAGAGACACAGACACCCATTGACTCACACAAATACCCATCGAAACACACAGACAATATACTTGCACTAAGACCCATAGAATCACACACAGACATTGACTCACACAGAAACCCAAAGACTCGCACAGGGACAATATACTTGCAAATAGACCCATAGAATCTCACACAGACACACAGCCTCACACAGACATCCCCAAAAATGCAAAATGCATTACGAATCATATTGACTGCCAAAACACATGTGGAAGTAGTTGAATATACAAAGTAATGCCCCACTAAACTCTTAACGGACCCAGCTCCCCCTCTAACTTAACGCGATTCCCCCGCACGCCCCTTCACTCACCAAAGTACTTGTTTCTCTCAGGCGCGTCATCAATCAAATTCTGAGGCGGCATCCCGAGGATCTACACACAATTCACACAGAGACAATGATCACCCATACAGTATTGACACACTTGTGTGGAAAGTTCTGTTTGTGAGCACCTACTGATGATGGCACAGCACCCAAGGCCACACCACAGCAACTATTTTACAAATCACTCCAGGTATTGATTTAATGCTGAGTCGATATTTGAGAGGCCAAGGACTGGTCCAACATTCAACACCACACGGTCAGGGTGCTAACCACTCGGCTACCGCTCCCGATGGTTCTCGCATGCAGGCACGGGGCAGTGTTATTGGCATGGCCCAGCAAAACCGCGAACGCCGCACGTTGCAGAAGTTCACGGATCAATCCCAGTGACTGCCCTGGTCTTTACTGCGGTATTAAACCACAAAATACTATGCACCATCTGCCTCATTCACAGCGGAGGTAATGGGTCCCGTGGCGTCATTTGAAATTGCTTATATGGTTGTGAGAATTTTCTTCATTACAAGCAGTTGAGATGAAACAACAATAATTGGCGCAATAAATGCTCGTTCATCTGACAATTCAAATTATTTGCAGGTGGTGTAGGGTTACATTTGGCCAATCCGTGGCCTCATGCAATAATCTATCACGAGTCATGACAACAGCTCTAAAAATCTATGCGTTCCGCTCACAGTTACCTTGACAGGTCTACGCCTGAGTAATTGGTTCTGTCATGCGGTTGTATCCAACTCAGTAGCTTGTGTGTGGACAACCATGCAACCAGTCGCGAGCAGTCGTACGCCTCTTTCTCACAGAAGAGACGACTCAAGTGGTCTGCTCAGGGAATTGTAAGGAAGTATTTCCTGTCGCATGTTCAATTGGTCATACCAATTCTGAATATTATTTTAATACCCTTGATGCGGAAATACTCGATGAGAAGTGAAAAACATGGTTAGAAGCAATGACTGAGTTGCGCGATTTCAAGAGCAAATTGGTCATGAAATTGATCACTCAATAACGGAATTGTCAGTGTTACTGCTGTGTGGGCAATACCTCCATATAACACGGGAACTGGTCGTGTTTGTTGATGGCCGGAAAGAGGATGCGCCCGGTAGCCAACTCGGCCACTGTACACCCCAGCCCCCACATGTCAACCGGGAAAGATGACATGTGGCCCAGGTATGCCTCTGGGGCAAGGTACGCAGGGGAACCAAAAATATGTGAACCTGTGAATTACAAAATACAAACATAACCAATATAACCTTTAACAGCAACACAGGCACGAAAAAACATGTATACAAACACATGTACTCACCCATAGGTCTAGAACCATGCACACACAGGTGAAGAGACGCAAACACGTGTTGCACACACACAAAACGTCCCCATATAGCCTTTAACAAATTTATCTGGCATTTGCTTTTAGCGAGCACCTAATGAAGGCCTGAACAACACACGAAGATGGGTGGCCAGCACCACGCCCAGCCACCTTTGTCTTCTAAACTGGTGGTGCCTAGACACCGCACATGGTACTCATTTATGGCTGAGTCAACCTAGGGGAGGCCCAGGACTGGTTCAGATATTCATGAACGCAAATTTTACTAGTCACCAGGATTGTAGTGCTGTCGACTAACCCCAACACTACGGTTCCTCACTGCATAAACAAAGAAAAGTTCCCCCGTGTAGCCTTAGACATTGTTGGGGCAGGTGCAATTAGTGACCACCTATGAAGTCCAAAACGACACATGAGGGGGGTGGGTGGCCTGCACCATGCCTTTGTCTCCTGAGTGGCATTGTTTACACACCACACCAGGTACTCATTTGAGACTGAGTCTACCTAGGGGAGGCTCACAACCAGTTCAGAAAATCGCCACTCTCACCTGGGTCACCAGTTTCGTAATGCAGTGTGCTAACCACTACACTACCGCTCCTTGAACTGCATACACACACATTCTCATACTCAGCCACACACTCACGACTCACGTTGGCGTCCCACCAAAAAGCTGTTTTCAAAACTCATCATCCGGATGGTCCCTTGCCCCAGGCTCTTTAATCGACATGTTCCTCTAGACGATAGGCAGCAGAAGATATTCACATTCAGAGGTCATGATAAATAATGTCAACTTGTTATACGCCAATGCCATGCAGTATTCACTCTATCTGGAAGAGAGAGAACCACTCCGAGGCACGAGGCGGGGCCACAGATGATGTTTCACACCATTGGTGTGATCCACCAACCTGCGGCTCTACAGTGCTGGATTACAGGCATGCACAACTATTCAGCCTGCAGCAGATTGGTCATGTAGCAAAATACCACAATAAATATTAAAAGGGGAATCTGAGATGACACGCTTTTGCCAAGGTTATTCATCGCAACTCAAGAGAATGTTTTCTGACGGATGCCACTGGGGTGCCCTTTCAAATGTATTTAGATGAGATTATTCCAATCTCTAATCTCATATAGAGCACTCTGGGGTGCCCGGCGTAAAGGAGGGCGCTCTTATCATACCTGTATGACGATTGTTACAAGAGGGCCGAACGGAGCTTGTAGCTGTGAGTGTTAGTTAGGCAGAAGCATGCACATGCATGAAGTTGGTAACGCATTCTCATGCGCATGAGCGGGGGGAATGGGGGGGGAGGGGGTATGGGGGGGGCGGGGGGTATGGGGGGGGCGGGGGGTATGGGGGGGGCGGGGGGTATGGGGGGGGCGGGGGGTATGGGGGGGGAGGGGGGTATGGGGGGGGCGGAGTTGATAGGCGGTGACGTCACGAAGCGCGTGGTGCCCTGGCCCCGCCCCCCACTTGCCTCTGGCAGTTTGGACGAAAGGCGCGGAGAGAGCAGCAGCAGAAGCAGCAGCAGCATCGCGTGTGGAGATCAGCCGAGAGGAGTGGATCCGAGCTGTGTATTAGTGGTGGTGTGGTAGTAGTGGTGTTAGTGGTGGTGGGGGTGTTAGTGGTGGTGGGAGTGTTAGTGGTGGTGGTTAATGGTGGGATTGTTGTTAGTGGTGGTGTTAGTGGTGGTCTGTTAAGGCTATTACGGGGGAGCTTTGTCTTTGGTGGTGTTCGTGGGGGGAGGGGGGCGTCGGGGTGGGGAAGGTACTGGGGGGGAGGGGCTTACGGGCTGTTGCGTCACGAGGGCGTGCTCACCGGGCCCCGCCCCCACTTCTGGCGATTTTTATTTGTCACAGGCGGCGACTCTGGAGGAAATGTCTCTCATGAAATTGTCTTTTCCGAGACCAAGGTTCTCTGCAAACCTCCCGGCTACCATCAAAGGTTTGTACACGAAGCCATACAAATATACAAACACAGACATAATTTCAACCGTGATGATGGGTACAAACTTAGTAATCATTGGAAAGATGTGATCAACCACGCAAAAAAGACTTAATTACACTATTTTGGACCATCTTATCTGACAGGCACTATTTTACTTTACTTTACCGAGTGTTAACATCCCCAGTGTTTAACAGTACTCTCTTCATTGTTCAGCCAGCATTGGTATAAACATGGGCATTTTCGTTCTTTTTCTATCATGTGTATCAGGCCTCCCCTCCCCCTCTCTGTCCAATGCGTTGGCGTTGTGCAACAGCAACCGCGTCCACGCCGTCGTCCATTCTTTTGGCCCCGCTCACCTCCCCCTCCCGATGCGTTGTACGTGGCACTCCGTGCCGTCTTTGAGCCCCGCCCCCCTCCCTCCCGATACGTTCCATTCATTGGCTACCACATTCTGATGAGCTCCCCCCCTCTCCTCCCCCCTCAACTTGCTTTTAAGGGATTACATCTTGAATCATTGCCTCACTTGATGCAGCTAATCCGGCTGTGACGGTCCCACCTGATGACGGAGACTTGTGTTGCCTCCGAAACGTCGTGATTTTTGTTTTATTTTTATTAATTTTGATGTTTTACCTACGTGACTTTACCGGAAAAAAAAACCTGTGAGTGAGTGGTGATGTGAGTGGTGAGGACGTGTGTGTGTCTGTGTAGTGTACTGGCAGGAGGAATGGTGGTGTTAGTGGTGTTACTGATAGTGGTGGTGTGTTGTGAGTGGTGACAATGTGAGTTCATGTCAGAATCAGAATACTTATACTGGAGGAGTCTGATGAGCTATACAGCTTTTTCTCACAGATGTGCAGTGTTGTGGGTGAATGGTTATGATGTAAGCTCGTGTTGATGATGTGAGTTTCTTGTTAATGATGTGGGTCCGTGTTAATGATGTGGGTTTGTGTTGATGATGTTGGTTAACGGTGAGGATGAGTCTGTGATGTGACGTGACTCGTGTTGAGACCCTGTGTGACCCTCGCCTTCGTCTCCCGCTCTCCACGCAGAGACCCGGACCGTGTGAGAGACGCCGCGAGTTCTGTGCACCCTGCACTGTACGTACCGTGTACCAGTCGGGGAGCGGGCAGTATTATTGCGGTGAACACCACGCTGCCCTCCAAGTTCGACTCCCGCTCACGGCCACCAACACTGCTGACGATTACCTCAGCCGCTCCTGGGCCTCCCCGTGTAGCCGTTGCGAGCAGCACCGATGAAGGCCGGCACGGCACGTGACACCAGTGTTGGTGGCCGTGAGCGGGAATCGAACCCTGGGTGGCAAGGTTCGTAGCGAAGCGCGCTAATCACTACACTACCGCACACACAGACACACACAAACACACAGACACACACAGACACACAACAACTGCCATTCGCCACTAAGTGGCGGTGACGTCACCACGACGCTTGTGCCAGGCCATGTGCACCTTGAGGCCACGTGAAGTGTCGAACGCCCGCTGGCAGGAGGTCATGGGGCAGACCCAGGTGCCACGGGTCGACTGACTGAGATGGCTGCCTGATGCACCACCTGTGCCCCCTACTGTGCCAACTTGCTGTGCTTTAGCCACCCGGCACTCCGCTCGTTGTTGTGAGCGTCACTCCTCCGTCCTTCGTTGGTGTTGGAGGGCGACTGCCTTCAACTGCCCAGTAGCGTCCTTCACGAGCCTCCTCCACTGAGGCCGATCTTGACACCGCTGGTACCAGTCATCGACAAGTCCACTCAGCTACACGTCCTCCTGTACCACATCACTCCATCTTTTCTCTAGCCCGTGCTGTGCCTGTTTAGCCCCCTCGATCCGGCCGAACAAAAGCTGTTTAGGCATGCGGTGGCTGGGTATGCAGGCTACATGACCCAGCCAACGCAGCCTTGCCTGCCGGAGGAGCTCACCGATGGGACTTTGCCCAGATCTTTCAAGGATTTGTGAGCTCCTCACACAATCCAGCCTGGTTAAACCCAGGATGGATCGTAGGCAGGCCAGCCTAAATGTTTTTAACCGACGAAGATGCTCCATTAGGGTGGTCCACGTTTCGCAAGCGTAGAGAAGGGAGGGAATGACTGTGGCCGAGAAGACCTGAAAATTCGAGCGGAGTGACAGACCAGGCAGCTTCCACACAGTGTTACGCAACCGATGAAAAGATATTGCTGCTCGACTGATTCGGAGTGAGACCTCCGCTGCCAAACCGGAGCCGGTCATGAGCACACTGCCCAGGTATGGGAAACTTTCCACTCTCTCCACAACTGCCCCATCACCGATTTAGAGTTGTGGGGGTGGAGTGTCTGATGGTACAAAATACCCAGGCAGGTGCTTAATTTTGGTGGGGCTAATGGTAATGCCCCACCTCTTAGTGGCACATTCCAGTTTCAGCAGAAGCGTCTCTAACTCCTCCTCTGAATGAGCAGCAATTACCAAATCATCGGCATACATAACGTGGTTGACCAATAGGGAGCAATCCCTTGACCGCCCCCGGGCATCAATCAGTCTCCCATTATATCTGTACCAAATGGAAATTCCCCCGGTACAGCTATTGAAGGCTTCACGAACTACGTGGTCAAAATAGATGTTAAATAATGTGGGAGCCAGAGGACATCCCCGTCGCACCCCAAGGTGTATAGGGAATGGCTCTGACTCCCGGCCACGTAGTTTTACCCGGGCCCACTCACCATCATGAAGGTCCTTAATGATCGTGAGCAGAGGGTCAGGGACTATGAAAGCACGAAGAACAACCCAGAGCCCAGGCCTACTGATGGTATCATAGGCCTTGACCAGATCAATAAAGCAGAGATGTAGGTCTTGTTGGAATTCCCTACACCTCTGCTGTAGCAGACAGACAGATAATATGGCATATGTGAAAGACCTCCCTTTCCTGAAACCGCATTGGGGCCCCGCAAGCCTCTCCTCAGCATGCCTAGCAAGGCGATGTTGAATAATCCTTGCCAGGACCTTTCCCGGCATACTGAGGAGTGAGATGCCCCTGTAGTTGTTACAGTCTGTGCGGTCCCCCTTCTTAAAGAGGGGGACCACCAGGGCATATTTCTAGTCCTATGGAACCCGTCCAGTGGTCCAGACTGTTGTTATGATGTCATGTAGGGCAGTTTGTGCACAAACGCCACCCTCCCTCAGCATTTTGCTTGGGAGATCATCTCTGCCCGGTGCCTTTCCTGGTCTCAGACTCTGGATCGCCTTCCGTACGTCCTCAACCAATGGCACCTCAGCCAGCCACTCACAGGGGGTGACTTACAATATTTGAGGCACCGCAGCCTCAGCAGGGTCATCCCCACTTTGTCCCACGTTGTTTTCCTGGGTAAGGGATTTCCCCTACCCTAGGACCTCACAGAAATGCTCAGAAAATCTGCAAACTTGTTCCTGGGGGTCGGAGATTGGATCACCATTCTTTCCCCTAATGATGGTAATAGGTGTGGTGCTGCAGGTTACTTTTGTCATGAAATTAAAGAGCGATTTGTTCTTGCGGGTAACTGAGGCAGACTCCTATCTCCTCAGCAACCCGTGACCACCACCCATCCTTGCAGCGCCTCACGGCTCTCCGAACCTCCGAGCGAAGGCTGCGGTAAGCCTCCTCATTCTCTGATGTGGGATGCTGTAGACGATTAGAGTGGGCCTTTCGCTTTTTCTCAACCATCCTGAACACCTCCTCTGTCATCCAGGGTCTTTGGGGAGGTCTGGACCACGTTCCCAAAGCAGCCATTGCAGCTGCATGAGTCACAGTCCTAAACCTTGCCCATTTACTCTCGACATCAGGAGTGGGGGACGATGCCTACCCCAGCCGCAAGTGTTGATGAAATTCCCGCTTGCAACTTTCATAAGCTAACTGAGACCAGGCCACCTTAGGTTGGAATGGGGTCTTGGGTGTACATCCACCACCGGAGTGGAAGAATGGCAGGCGCATCTTACAGATGACTAGTCAGTCGATGGTCAGAGGGCAGATCAGCTCCACGGTAGGTCCTGGTGTCAAGGACATGGGCTCGCATCCACTGATCCGTCACTATGTAGTCCAGCAGATGTTCTTGCTTGGATCCAGCATGCATCCGTGATGTTGTGTTGATGCGCCGATGCCGGAACAGCGTGTTGGTAATTACAAGATCATTGGCTGCACAAAAATCTAGCAGCCTCCTACCGTTGTTATTGAACTGATCTGGCCCATGCCTTTCAATCACTACAGACCAGGTGCAGACACACAACAACAACTGCCATTCGCCACTAAGTGGCGGTGACGTCACCACGACGCTTGTGCCAGGCCATGTGCACCTTGAGGCCACGTGAAGTGTCGAACGCCCGCTGGCAGGAGGTCACGGGGCAGACCCAGGTGCCACGGGTTGACTGACTGAGATGACCGAGATGACTGGCTAATGCACCACCTGTGCCCCCTACTGTACTAACTTGCTGTGCTTTAGCCACACGGTGCTCCGCTCGTTGTTGTGAGCGTCGCTCCTCCGCCCTCCGTTGTTGTTGGAGGGCGACTGCCTTCAACTGCCCAGTAGCGTCCTTCACGAGCCTCCTCTACAGAGGCCGATCTTGACACTGCTGGTACCAGTCATCGGCAAGTCCACTCAGCTCCACGTCCTCCTGTACCACATCACCCTATCTCTTCTCTAGCCCGTGCTGTGCCCGTTTAGCCCCCTCAATCCGGCCAAACAAAAGCTGTTTAGGCATGCGGTGGCTGGGCATGCGGGCTACATGACCCAGCCAACGCAGCCTTGCCTGCCGGAGGAGCTCACCAATGGGACTTTACCCATATCTTTCAAGGATTTGTGAGCTCCTCACACAATCCAGCCTGGTTAAACCCAGGATGGATCGTAGGCAGGCCAGCCTAAATGTTTCCAACCAGCAAAGATGCTCCATTAGGGGGGTCCACGTTTCGCAAGCGTAGAGAAGGGAGGGAATGACTGTGGCCGAGAAAACCTGAAGCTTCGTGCGGAGCGACAGACCAGGTAGCTTCCACACAGCATTACGCAACCGATGAAAAGATATTGCCACTTGACTGATTCGGAGTGAGACCTCTGCTGTTACACTGGAGCCGGTCATAAGCATACTGCCCAGGTGTGGGAAACTCTCCACTCTCTCCACTACTGCCCCATCACTGTCCGGCAAAACAACCCCCTACCTCCTCGCGGTGCCGGATGGGCAACACTGTCGTGGACAGTGCTGTGGGGGGAGAGCCAATGCCCATGGGCCTCTCCCCTCATGGCGTCTGTGACCACCACAGTGGCTAAACGGGGGCTCTGGACGGGTGCGAGGGGCTGGTAACCCCTCCACCTTCAATTTATTACCACGAAACTACGAATTAAACATAAATATGTAACTAATAAGCTTGTGCCGGAGGCCCCGGGGGGACAGGCGTCTATAACATCTCCTGGCCAAACCCCAATTGGCGGAGCCAGGAGATTAAATCTTCACCCTCGGGGCTCCTCCAAAAGCAACGAAAGCCACTATGGATGGCCACGTGGAATGTTCGAACGCTCACTGCGGAGGAGAGGCTGCCACTCCTTTGTCAGGAGCTGGATCGGTACTGCACACACACACACAGACATACAGACACACAGATGAGACACAACATACATCCGTCCTCGGGCCGTGACGTCATATCCGCTTCCGCCCAGTGTGCCGCTGGAGCCACGCTGCGAGCTGCGTGCTGAGGAGCGCCTCTCTGCACGAAGCCTCCTGGAGCCTCTCCCGGAGCAGTCACCATGGAGGCTCATGGGCTGCGCAGTACCTCACGCACCCTCGTGGCGCTGCTCGTGACGAGCTACGCGTTCCTCACGTCTGGGCCCACGGAGGAGAAGAATTTCTCCCCGAACTGGCTGGTTAACCTGGGGGGAGCCTGGGAGGTCCAACCGCCACAGGCCGGGCAGCCTCTACCTCTCGCCAAAGCGACCGTGGCTGTCCACATCAGCGACCGGCTCGCAGATCACGAAGCCAAGAGGGAGCCTCGAGTCGCTTCCTCTCCCAGCCATGGCGTGGAGGTTCCCCAAGGAGGAGGAGGAGAAGACGACGACCCAGCTCCCTTAGGGTGGAAGACCTTCATGGAGATGCTGCACAGCAGGCCGGTGGCCATCGCCTACGAGGTGGCGAGTGCAGGGATCGCCCTCCTCAGCCTCGGAGTGTGGCTGAAGAATGCAGTGGTGAGTGTGTGGTGCCACAGCGACGGGGCCGCTCTGCCGAGCCAGGGAGCCGCCCGGCTTCCCCCACCGCACTGCCCCCCATCACCCGCCCCACATAAGCACACACCCGCACGCATCCCCCCCCCCATAGAGCTGGAAGGGAAGGTTACCTGATCGACCGGTTTTTATCCGAGAGACCCTTATCGGGATTAATTCTCACGGTTTCCGGCGATCAGGGAATTGGATGACCTCCCCCGTGCTACGTGGTACCGCGGCGCTGCTGCCGGCCTTAATATGGTATGGTCGCGGCGTGGGGCATTCGGCCACCGCGGTTGAGGCGCATTTCCCCCCACACACACCCCCACGAGTCGACGGGGCAAGCAGGGGAGGCACGAGACAGCATGAATAGCGGGGTCACAGGGGCTGTTGCGCATAGTCATGGAGGGTTGGGATAATTGCGCTTGAGCGCGCAGGCCCCATTGTTAGGAAGGGTAAGGGAGTAATTAGGATGTACGCCGCCAATGTCGCGCACTGATTAGCATATCAACAGCGCCCGGGAACCGCCGTGCGCGGGCTTGGGGTGCACGAGCCCATTGTTCAGCGCAGCATCCCCTTTGAGGTAGGGAGGATAAATAGAGGAGCGGAGAGGGGAAATCGCCCCTTCTCTCCAGGCCAGCGGACCAGCAGGAGTTCCAGCCAGCGACCCGGACGTCCGTGCGACGCATCGAGGTACGCTGTTAGCGCAGAGAGCAGCGAACCTCCGCGGGCACCAAACAGTGAGTGGGGAGGTGAAGTAGGGTATCGTAAGCCGATAAATAGGGAATAGGTACAAGTTTAGTGGAATAGGCCAGCCTCGTCGACTCACTGATTCCACATCAATTCGCAGGTGGCATATAATAAATCATTAATAGCGAAGCGTGGTCTCGCGTGATCTTGTCGTGCAGTGTGAGCGTGTGGGTGCGCTGTGTGCACAGTGGTTCGCCACGTGAGTGAGCGCTGCGCGGAGCTGAGCGCGCGGGTTGCGCGTGGGTACGCAGTGATTCTGTGGTGCTGCGGCTCGCCTCGGGGGAGCGCTGCGCAGAGCGGTGCGAGAGTGGGTGTCGCGTGTGTTCACTCCGTGTGTGATACAGGTGCGCGAGTATAACGTGAGTTGAGTTGGAGTGCGCGGAGCGGCGTGTGTGTGGGCGTGCGTGCGTAATCGGCGTCCCCCAGGTGCGCGCTCATAACGTGAGCGGCCAGCAGGCGGCGAGCGCTGCGCAGAGCGGCGCAAGAGTGGGTATCGCGTGTGGAGCTGTATGCGTGTGTGCGCGCACGTTCACTACGTGTATAATACGGATGCGCATTGGGAACGTGCCGCACAGGGCTATACTGCGAGCACGGCGTTTGATCGACGATGATGTGCGCACGTATGCTCGCAGCGTGGGAGCGCGGCGCGAGGCTGTAACCGTAGGGGCGTCGCGTTCGAATGCCGGCGAAACCGTAGCGGGTAATAGGGAGGTGGGGTAACGTAAACGAATAGGGGATGCAGGCGGGAGGGACCCCGGGGGCCGACGGGACCCCGGGGGCCGACGGCCCCCACAAGTGCCAGCTTCACGATTACACAGACCATAGCATGGCACCGCAACAGACACCACAGGCAGAGCCACCACACGCAGAGATGTATCACGCATACAGATCACTCGCGTAGATATAAGAATCTCACTCGCATATGTAGTAGGTTCAATGAGACGTAGACGACGTAGTCGGAGGCACACTTATTTATTATAATGTTTCACTCAGCACAGGCCAATGTATACAACACTCGAAGGGGTAACGGCCCCTTCACCTGTCTAACAGGGAGACCCCATTAACTCTAGCCCGGCTAGCCTACTCCCAGGTCCTCCACTCGAGAGCTAGGGGAGGCTAGCTGATCCAGCTCTGGCCAAGCTAGGATCACGGCACCCTTAGTCACCAGACCGGCTCTTACCAGAGCATCGGCTCTGGGCTCTCGGGGCCACGCCACCGGCTTGCCCTGGTCGGTCCTTAGAAGGACAGCGATCCAGGGGAGTCCCAGAGCCTATCTAGCCGGTCTTCACTCTTCACTAGTTAAGCTGAATACTGAACCCCGTGCCCACCGGCTCACCGCCTTATATAGCAACTCCCCCACGAGGGGTGGGGCCGTGGGAGATCACAGCGCCGTTACAGCCCCCCAGGGCTAACCGATGCGGACGTGGATGTAAGCATCCTTCCACGTGCGGGCATAACCACCCCTCGTGTGTTTGTTCGCCCTCCCGTAACACCCCTACACATACACCACACACACAAGTATATATGACATCCACATACACATCCTAGACAAAGTCGCAAACACCTTGCTCAATTAATTATGCTTAAATATTATCCACTGCAACTTTAAGGGTGTTTTTTGTTACTGGCAGCGTGGCATTTGGGACATGTGCTGGACTCAGCTGTCCTTGTGCGACGTTGGTGAGTTGCCCTGGTGCGGACAGAACTATTTCCCCAGCCAGTAGAGTCAGAATAATACTATTTATTTATGGTTGAGGAATCCGATGAGCTATGAAGCTCTTTTTCACAGATGTCCAGTAGGGGCTGGTAAGAACATTACAACAACAAATACTACAAAAACATGATAATAGTGCAAAGTACATGAAAGGTTAAAAAATCACCCAAAAACAAACAAATAAAGCTAAACCACCCCCATCATACAAAGCCCACTGAGGTACTAACTTATTTTTCAGACGGAACCTGGTCACAAATGATAGATCAACAAAGTGACATAATTTGGACATTCATAGCAGCAAAATAATCTAAATTATCGAAATAAATGTTTCTAAATGTGGAGGGAAAAACCAGAGGATCAAACTACGCAGGGCCATGGCACGTGACCAATGACTTTTGTTTATTGCCGAGAATCCAGCTGTTAGTCAAGGCTGAACTAAAGAGAGGGAAAGATACTTGTTGTCGTGCTGTACATTACAAATACTTGTGCAATGTTTTCAACAGTGGCGTCCGCGACCTCCTGCCATGCCAGCAATGGCCGTCCACACCACCAACCTCCCGAAACAGAAGGCTCGGTCGAACTTGGCCGAGATGGTACCTCAAGCAGCTTCTTCTTTAGGCTGTTGGATGACGGTTCCGCAAGATGGAGAATACCCGTCTCCCTCAAGGTGGACGACCTTGATGAAGATGCTGCACAGTGGGCCGGTGGCCATCACTTACCACGTGGAGAGCACGGGGATCACCATTACCAGCCTAAGAGTCTGGCGGAAGAATCAATTGGTAAGAGAGAGAGAGTGTGCTGGCTTCACTGTCACATAGAGAATCAGCAGGACACCACAACAGACACACACAGAGACACCACACCCAGAGAGGCATCGTGGATATAGATCACTCAGGCAAATGTCATAATCTCACATGCATAGATGACACAAATCAGAATCAGAATATTTATACTGGAGGAATCCGATGAGCTATTAAGCTATTTTTCACAGATGTCCAGGAGAGGCAGGTTAGAACGTTACAAGAACAAACAATAAAAAATCACACTCACACCCGCGACAAAGTCGCACACATTTATTACAAGCACACACATTGTTCATGCTGTGGATTACAAATAGTTGTCCGATATTTGCGACTGAAAGGCAAGTACAACACCCGTGTTCAATCAATGGTGGTGGTGTGGCAGATGGCAAGTGAAAAAAAATATTTCAGTGGATGTGACCAACAGGGGAAGAAGGAGACTGCAATCTCTTGCCTCTCATACTGATTTTGTTTCCGGTTTTAAACAGAAGTCATCGCAACGTGGACGAATTTACCGAAGCCGCCACATGAGAGGATCCATGTGGAAATTGGCTCGGGGCAAGCGCCACCCCATGAAAATCAAGAGGACCCACAGATCCCTCAAGACTCGGCTGGATGGCTGCTCCATGATGAATAGCTCACCAACACTTAACAGCGCACCCACCAACAGCACCACTCCTACCAACACCAGCACTCCTACCAACAGCACCACTCCTACCAACACCACCATGACAAACCCCACCCCGACCAACATTGCTATCTCGACTAACACCATCACACTTTCAAATACCACCACCTCTACCAATGCTATCCTGACTAACACCACCACCTCTTCCACCCCTACAAACCCTACCAACAACATCTTCTCCACCTTCACCACCACCAGGACCGACACCATTACCCCAGCTGAGCGTGAGTGGTGTCACCTCATGATCATGGCCCGCACCAATGCCCGCTGCACTACAATAAGCTCAATTATCCCTACCAGCCCAACCACCAACTCCCCCGCTCCTACCAACTCCACCACCTCGACCAATCCCACGCCTACCAACATTACCTCCTCTACCCTCACTACCACTCCCAGCCACATCACCCCAGCTGAGTATGTGTCCAGCCTCATGATCATGAGGGAAAAGAGATCACTCTTCATGGCCCGGATCAATGCCTGCTCCACCACTCCTACCAACTCCACCACCTTTAGAATCCGCACACCCACCAACACTACCACCCCTCCCAACACCGCTACCCTGACCAAACGCAACTACTCCGACGAACACCACCACTCCTACCAAAACCAACCCTACCAACGCCAACCCTATCAACACCAACCCTACCAACACCATCCCTACCAACACCATTATTCTTACTACTACCCCTACCAACACCAACCCTACCAGCACCAATCCTACCAACACAATGACTCCTACCAATACGACCACCCCAACCGACACCATCACTCTTCCCAACAACAGTCCTATCAACGTTACCTATCCTACAAACGCCAACTCTATAAACACCTTGACCCCTACCAACACCACCACCACCCCAAATAAGAAATAATACAAAATAAATAACATTACAACATCGCTGCACCCTTTGCATGTTAGCGTGCTGCGCTACGAAGCCGGCGACCGGAGTTAAATTTCCGCTCATGGCCAACACCAGTGATCGACTCAGTCTCAAATTAGTGCCTGGTACTCATTTAGCTGAGGCTACCTCGCATGCCAGTCTGTTAAATCTTTACGGGGGATCTTTGTCTTTGACATATCTGTGGGCTAGAGTGTAGCTTGATTTATTGTTCATGTGAGGGATGCGCTTTGCCTGCAGCCGCCACTACATCTCCGCTCATGTGTGTTTAGCCGTGTCAGTGACGCGCCACGATGTCGCTACTGCTGCTGTCACTGTCACGACCCGGTCGGTGCAGGGTGCTCTGGGACGAAATAAAAAAGTGGCACGAGGATTATCGCTGCTACTTCAGCAGATCAAGAACGGTTCTCATGGAGTCATCAAAATGCACCTGAAATCACAGCTGACCATCTCAATCACATCTGTGAAATGTCAACGGTGGTGTCCGTTGCCCCTGCTGTGAGTGGTGGAGATGTCCTTGAGCAGTGGTGATGTCCCTGAGTGGCGGTGGAGATGTCCCTGAATATTGGTGGAGTCTGTACAACGCAGCTGCTGTATTCGTGATTAAAGAACCTGAGCCGAGCGTGCTTGGTGGAGCTCAGCAGAAGGTGATGAGCCGGAGGTGTGAACTGAAAGTTCGAGCTCAAGGCGTGAGCTCAAGGTGTGAGCTCGAGGTATAAGCTGGTGATGCGGTCTGGAGGTGAGCACGCGGTGTCCCTGTGCTCACAAGCGTGGTGCGGGAGGTGGCCCGAACTAAACTTTTTATTTACCAGGTAAGGCCCACTGGTCCAATAGCTCTTTTTCAGAAGCTACCTGGTCACAAATAATATCTCAATGAAGTGGCTCATCATCTGAAAATATATGTCAAATACTAGAAACGTATGTTTCTCAATGTGGAGAGGAAAACCAGAGGAGCCGTAGAAGAATCTACGCGACCACGGAGAAAACACGCAAACTCCAAATATACAGGTGTCGGGGTCGGAATCGAACCCACGTCTCCCTGTATACCAGGCGAGGTAGTTGACATCTCTCAATAACTGCCTCCTCATAGCCGTATCTCCACAAAAACAATGCGAGTGGTTCTACTCATCCCATCAGCCTTCTGAGAGTAGATCTCAGCAGCATCATTGATTCAACACAAGCAGCATCCTGGTGAGGATTGGACACTTGGTGACTAATCAGCAGTCAGGCTTGCTTGAACCAACACTGATGAATTGCCAGGTCCTCTTGGCAGGGACCCACTCTGATAGACATGGATCAAGTTCAGCAAATAACTCTGTCACGCACTGGCTCGAGCCTGGCCCTGCGGATGTCACTGGAGTGCACGGATACACGGCACCCTCTCCTGGGTGAATCTCTGGCTGCGATGGCAGTGGCGCACGAACACAATCCTGAATTAAACAAAATCAACACATTCGTTAATAACCCGGCGGCCTTTAAAGAAGAACACATACAGGCGACGCTACGGACAATGGCCTTCCTGTCCAAGCCGGCAGCTCGCCACTTCAACAGTTGGGACGACTGCCCCGAGTGTCGGTGCGTGGCCTCTACCCGCGGCCTCTGCTCATGGTGGAGGTGGCAATGAGACCAAAACCTCATGAGCTAAATGACCTAAGGGGCTGTCCATAAATGACGTCACGCGATTTTGGACGACTTTTGACCCCACCCTCCCTCGTCACACGGCGTCACGAAAAGTCAGACCCCCCCCCCCTCAAATATGACGTCACAAAGCTCTGCCCCCCATCCCCCCACAAAAAATAAAACACGCTTCAAATAGCTTTAAAGTATTGTCATTGTAGTGCGTATTTAATGTGCCGCTGCACTATGATGTTGTAGGATAAAACATTTATTAAAAGTATATTTAATTAAGTAGAACGTGTTGACTATATTTATTTAAAGTTACGCATTTTGATGTGACGTAACATTTCTCAACACCCCCCCCTCGTCACACATCGTCACAAATGTCTGACTCCCCCCCCCCCCCTAGGTGTGTGACGTAATTCAAGGACGTCCTCTAAATAACCTAACCAACATGGACGTCCTCTCAATAACCTAACCAACATGGACGTCCTCTAAATAACCTAACCAACATGGACGTCCTCTAAATAACCTAACCAACATGGACGTCCTCTAAATAACCTAACCAACATGGACGTCCTCTAAATCAGTGCTCCCCAACCTTTTTGGCACCAGGGACCGGTGTCATGGAAGACAATTTTTTCACGGACGGGGGGGGGGGGTCATGATTGGGTCTTTCCCCCTTTTCAAAGAAGCTGACTGAGACAAGTGCGCAGTGCGGGAAAGAGGCGCTCACCTCTTGCTGTGCGGCTCGGTTCCTAACAGGCCACGGACCGGTACTGGTCAGCGGCCCGGGGGTTGGGGACCCCTGCTCGTCTCAATGAGCTCACCAACACGGACGCCCGATCAGTAATCTCCACCGCCGCCGTGTGGCCACGTGGTACAACTGCAGTGCCACAGTGCGGGCGAGGCAGCTGCGGCACTCTGCGCTGTCTTCGCCGAGGGGGTCCGAGGGGGGTTGGGGGGGGGCTCTGGGGTGCATCCCGGGGGGGTCAGGAGGGGTGCGGGCACCTCATCGCGTGCCGCTTTCAGATGCGCTTCTGCGGCCATCGCTCTTCCTTCCGATATTTGGAAGACATTGGAGCTCTGCACTTTTAAATGTCTTTGACAACCCATTTCTTTAGAACTGCTTTTTGTGTTTAGTTTGTTGTTCTTCACCAGCAGCCAGCACCTCCGATTATCGCGGTTGGCTACGTACGGTGCGATAGAAGTTCAACATACATGTTGTATGTTAGTGCTGTATGTTGTGCATTGGTGTTGCAGCCAGCCAGAAACCGGCGCGACCAACAATATCCCCAAGCTCTGTGGTCCTACATTGGGATAATTTGTCGATACCGCGTTGGCAGTGGTGCACAAATAAAACTCAATGAACACATTCGTTAATACCACGGCTGCCTTAAGAGGAAAATATATCATGGGCGATGTTTGAAGCAATGGGCCCCATTGCATGGCATATGTTTGCCCAGTTCCATTCAAGAGCGAGTATGCATGTGAGGGGAGAGAACCAACGCGTGCGAGGGGGAAACATTAAATCCCCTCGAGATGGAAATGTCTCCGCTTGCTGCGCTTCCAGACCCTGGATAGGCCAGGAGATGGCGACCTTAGCGACCACGGGGAGTTTCACAACATTTGTGTGGTGATCCACACGTGCACATACACACAGACTCACACACTCACACAGACTCACTCACTCACACAGACTCACTCACTCACACAGACTCACTCACTCACACACTCACACAGACTCACACACTCACACAGACTCACACACTCACACAGACTCACTCACTCACACAGACTCACACACTCACACAGACTCACTCACTCACACACTCACACAGACTCACACACTCACACAGACTCACTCACTCACACAGACTCACACACTCACACAGACTCACTACACACACTCGCACACTCACACACTCACACAGACTCACTCACTCACACAGACTCACACACTCACACAGACTCACTCACACAGACTCACACACTCACACAGACTCACTCACAGACTCACACACTCACACAGACTCACACACTCACACAGACTCACTCACTCACACAGACTCACACACTCACACAGACTCACTCACTCACACACTCACACAGACTCACTCACACAGACTCACACACTCACACAGACTCACTCACACAGACTCACACTCACACAGACTCACTCACACAGACTCACACACTCACACAGACTCACACACTCACACAGACTCACTTACTCACACAGACTCACACACTCACACAGACTCACTCACTCACACAGACTCACACACTCACACAGACTCACTCACAGACTCACACACTCACACAGACTCACTCACTCACACAGACTCACACACTCACACAGACTCACTCACTCACACAGACTCACTCACTCACACAGACTTACTCACTCACACAGACTCACTCACTCACACAGACTCACACACTCACACAGACTCACTCACTCACACAGACTCACTCACTCACACAGACTCACACACTCACACAGATTCACTCACTCACACAGACTCACTCACTCACACAGACTCACTCACTCACACAGACTCACACACTCACACAGACTCACTCACACAGACTCACACATTCACACAGACTCACACACTCACACAGACTCACTCACTCACACACTCACACAGACTCACTCACTCACACAGACTCACTCACTCACACAGACTCACACAGACTCACTCACACACACTCACACTCACACAGACTCACACACTCACACAGACTCACACACTCACACAGACTCACTCACTCACACAGACTCACACACTCACACAGACTCACTCACACAGACTCACTCACTCACACAGACTCACACACTCACACAGACTCACTCACACAGACTCACACACTCACACAGACTCACACACTCACACAGACTCACTCACACAGACTCACACACTCACACAGACTCACTCACACAGACTCACACACTCACACAGACTCACTCACTCACACAGACTCACAGACTCACACACTCACACAGACTCACTCACTCACACAGACTCACACAGACTCACTCACTCACACAGACTCACTCACTCACACAGACTCACACACTCACACAGACTCACACAGACTCACTCACTCACACAGACTCACTCACACAGACTCACACACTCACACAGACTCACTCACACAGACTCACACACTCACACAGACTCACACACTCACACAGACTCACTCACTCACAGACTGACTCACTCACACAGACTCACTCACACAGACTCACACACTCACACAGACTCACACACTCACACAGACTCACTCACTCACACAGACTCACTCACACAGACTCACTCACACAGACTCACTCACTCACACAGACTCACACACTCACACAGACTCACTCGCAGACTCACACATTCACAAAGATCCCCCGTATATCCTGAACAGACTGTTGGGGCAAGTGCTGTTAGCGAGCACCTATGCACGGCACACGAGGGAGTGGGTAGCCAGGACCACGCCCGGCCGCCTTTGTCTCCCTAGTGACGATGTTTACACAAAGCGCCGCGCTAACCGCTGCACCGCCGCTCCCCACTGTTACAGTGCAGCACTGTCCCCAGGTAAGATGGCCGCCCGCCCCCACGTGACTCGGCGTGCGCACTCGGCACGTGGTGTCAGCACCACGTGGTGTCACCCAGCGCGCGCGGTCTCGCGCCGCCATCACTGCTCACGGAGTCGCTGCCGCGTGAGTCTCTGGGCCTCTGTGTGAGTCTCTCTGTGAGAGTCTCTGTGTGAGTCTCTGTGAGAGTCTCTGGGTGAGAGTCTCTGGGTGAGAGTCTCCGAGTCTCTGGGTGAGAGTCTCTGAGTCTCTGTGTGAGAGTCTCTGGGTGAGAGTCTCTGAGTCTCTGTGTGAGAGTCTCTGAGTCTCTGTGTGAGAGTCTCTCTGTGTGAGTGTCTGTGTGAGGGTCTCTCTGTGTGAGAGTCTCTGAGTCTCTGGGTGAGAGTCTCTGAGTCTCTGGGTGAGAGTCTCTGTGTGAGAGTCTCTCTGTGTGAGTCTCTGTGTGAGGGTCTCTCTGTGTGAGAGTCTCTGAGTCTCTGGGTGAGAGTCTCTGAGTCTCTGTGTGAGAGTCTCTGGGTCTCTGTGTGAGAGTCTCTGGGTGAGAGTCTGTGTGAGT